TCTTAACACTGAGGCACATTTATATCACTGAAATAAACTCAATCTTGGTCATGGTACAATCTACTTCTAAATTTATTGTTAGGCCAGGTGCAGTGGCTCATGCCTGTAATCCTAGCACTAGGGGAGGCTGAGGCGGGTGGATTGCTCAAGGTCAGGAGTTAGTTTGAGACCAGCCTGAGCAAGAGCGAGATCCCGTCTCTACTATAAATAGAAAGAAATTAATTGGCTAACTAAAAATAAATATATAAAAAAATTAGCTGGGCATGGTGGCGCATGCCTGTAGTCCCAGCTACTTGGGAGGCTGAGGCAGGAGGATCGCTTGAGCCCAGGAGTTTAACGGCAATCTAGCCCGGGCAACAGAAGTGAGACTCTGTCTCAAATAAACAAACAAACAAACAAATAAATAAATAAATTTATTGTTAGATTCTATTTATTAACATTTTATTTAGGATTTTTTTCTACTCAGTATACAAAAATGTGCCATTTTTGTTAGGTTTTGGTATTAGTTGGCTTCGTAAAAATCTTAAAATATTAAGAAAGCACCTAGTCTAATCCTTTCTTTTAAAGGTAATGATTTTGAGGCCTGAAAAATATTAAATGACTTAGCAAGTTCACATTATTCCCTATATTTTATATCCAGTCTTATTGATTTCAACTCCTAAAATTTTCTCAAATCCATTTTCTTCTCTCTCTCTCAGCCCAACCTACTGTCACCCTGAGTTCAAGGGCAGCTGGTGTCCTGCCTGGGCTGATGTAATAGCATTTCTCAACATGGTCTCCCTGGCCCTAGGCTCACCTTGTTTCCCATTGGCACACAGTGGACCTGCTCCATGCAGGGCATCATGCCATCCTTCTGCTTAAAATCCTGTGGTACATTTTGCCCTTATGTTGCCAAGGTCTTTTGTTATTTCACCCATTTACCTTTCCACCTTATTTAGAAACAGGCCACATGGTCAAGTGGAAGGAGCTTCAGATTGGAATCAGAGATGGATTTGAGTCTTAGTAGTTATGTGACTCTAGGTAAGTGATCTAACCTAGGTCTCCATTATCTCATTTGTGAGACAGGGCCAAAATTATTTAAGTTGCAGGTTATAGTAAGGATTAATTGAGATAATGTAATATAAAGAACCCAGCCCAAGAATGTACTCAAGAAATTTTTTTCTAATTTAATCTTCTTTTCTCTAAATTTTTTAAAAATTTATTTTTTAATTGACAAATGAAAATTGTATGTATTTATGATGTACAACATGATGTTTTGATATATGGATACATTACGGAATGGCTAAATCAAGTTAAGTAACACATGTATTACCTTACATACCTATCATTTTTTTTTTTTTTGTAATGAGGATATTTAAAATCTACTCCCTTGGCAATTTTCAAGTATACAATACATTGTTATTAACTACAGTTACCATATTATACAACCGATATCTTGAACCTATTCCCTACACCTAACTGAAATGTTATACTCTTTGACTGATATCTCCCCAGTACTCCCCAGCCCCAGCCCCTGGTAACTACCTTTCTGCTCTCTGCTTGTATGAGGTCACCTGTTTTAGATTCCATGTATAAGTGAGATCATGAGGTATTTGTCTTACTATGCCTGGAATATTTTACTTAAGATAATGATATCCAGGTTCATTCATGTTGTCACAAATGACAAGATTTCTTTCTTTTGTAAGGCTGACTGATGTCTGACAAGGTTGCAAAGAACATACAATGAGAAAAGGACAGTCTGTTCAATAAATGGTGTTAGGAAACTGTATATTCACACGCAGAGGAATAAAATTATCTCACACAAAATACAAAAATCAACTCAAAATGGATTAAAGACTTAAACATAAGATCTGAAACTGTAACACTACTGATGAAAACATAGGAGGAAAGTCCCATGACATTGACATGTCTGGATAATAATTTTTTTGGATATGACCCCAAAATCACAGGCAACAAAAGCAAAAATAGACAAATGGGATTACATCAAACTAAAACGTTTCTGCACAGAAAGCAATCAACAGTGAAGAGACAACCTAGTGAACTGGAAAAAATATTTGCAAACCATATATCTGATAAGGGATTAATATCTAAAATATACAAGGAACTCAGACAACTCAATAGCAAGAAAAGAGAAAGGAGTGAAAATGCCAGGCAATTGAGGAAAAGTGGCTGGTGTTTCAAAGGGTAAAGATGGCTTTTTCCCCCTCTGTTTTAGCAGACTGATAACAGGAGCAGCTGCAGAGCCAGTGGTGTTTGCTTTTGCTTTTTTTCCTTTTCTCTGTGAAACCAGCCTATCTGAGTACTTGAAATGTGTTTCTCACAAGAACGGAGGCAGAGAGTTGGAGCAGGGAGTTGGTACTCCTACTGTCCGCCTGGGGCTCTTCAAAGCTGAGAAGAAGAAATTCTTAGAGATAAGGATTTAGGTCACAAGTGTTTTAATTAAACAAAGGGTAGTTGTGCTGTGAGTTTATTTCTCTTACTTTCTGATTGATAGTTTATTTTCCTCTGTTAGGTAGGTTGTTATTAAGGCCACCTTTTCACTTTTCTTCTCTAACAATCCATCTCTAACACCTTTGTTCTGTACATGAGCTACCTCACGTACATACTGAAAGCTTAATGCTAACGTTACCTTTTGGGGGATGCCTTCTTTGACTACCTCCTGGCATTGTGTCCTGGTATTTTGTCCTTTCAGTATTGCCACTGTGTGTCTATTATCATCTTTATCATTTTGTATTCTAACGCTATGCTGGGAAGCACAATGCTGTATAGCAAGTACCAGTAAAGGTGCAGTCAGTATGACTGACATCTCTGTAAAACACAGAGCTGGACAAACCTACTTTTGTGCCTTCCATATCCATAGCAACCTGGCACCCACAGTCTCCCACACACCTGGAAGTATAATAGTTGGGACCCCAGGAGAGTCACCTACGCTCAGTAAGAACAGCAAAGGAGGAGGATGCTACGTGGTATCTGCAGAATATTACTAACAACATCCCACCCTCCCATCCCCCACTGGATTTAAGGAGGGTTAACATTCCCACAAGTTTTGCCCTTAGATGCTCAGTCAGAAAGCTGTTCTCTTACTTTTATTGTGGCTTAATTGTATTTCCAGCTATGACCTGTAGAAATATGTAGGTTACAGTAGCAATGGCATTATCAAAAATAAAACTGGAAAAGAAATTATAAATGATTAAATAAAAGACAAAAATATTAGAAGCATAAAAGGAAATGTCTATTTGGTATAGAGGCTATCATTTCTCTTCTGACCAAGGAATGTGTTTAGTAGGCTTCCAGTGTACATGAAACTTCTCCCCTTGGTCAGACTTCTTGCTTCAAATCAGTCCTTTTCAATCTTCAGCGTCTGGCAAGTTAGCTTTCCCAGAGTTTGGTCAGTTGATTTGATAACAGTATATAAAACATATTATTTTAAACCTAGGAAAGGAAACTAAGACATGTAATACAAATCACCAATGTCATAAAGCCTTAAGGAATTTAAGTTCTTGAAAACTAAGGTGCTTCCCAAGGTCATTCACTTAATCGGTGGCACATAGGACACCAAAGTGCAGGCTTCCTGCAGCCATTCACTTATTCCTCCCATCTGTAACAAGGGCACTGACGTAGAAATTCACTGGTGCTCATTTTTGCTGCAGGATACTCAACAAGGAGGAAAGAAAGAATATTTTCCTCTTCCCTGGAGGGTAACTAGACTTTCTGAATTCCCAAGAAAAAATCAAAACACAACTCCCATCCCCTCCCCCTTTTTCTTGTGATTGGGGTCTTGGAGGCTAGCTGTCTGAAAAGAAAAAAGCAAGATGAATTCTCACTTGATTTGGGGCATTAAAAAACGAAGCTTGTCCCATTATTGCTGGGTCCCCTTTGGAGGCTAGAAAAAGGACAAGGGCTCCTAGTATTGTTGGAATAGAGTCAAGAACCTGTTAGAACCTCAGAAGTGGCAGGGCAGCAGAGAGAACTGGCCCCAAGGTGGACACTGAAACCATGTCTTGGAACAAAATCGTCAAGGGAATGAGAAGATAGAGAAGTTCAAGGACTGAACTTTGGGTTGAGCGAATGAAGCTGACAGTGAAGTGGACAAACCAAGACAGAGGAGCCACCTGAAGGCGATGTGAAGAAGGTGAATATTTCAAGATGACGGTAGGAAGCAACTGTTCCAAATGCTGCTGACAGTTTGAGTAAGATAACTGAAAAGTAACCACTGATTTAGCAATTTGGAGGTCATTGATGACTTTGCCAAGAGGCATTTCAGTGGAGGGGTAGGGGAAAAACCTGGTTAAAGTAGATTCAAGAATGAATATGTGGAGGGGATGAGACTACAATGTGTATAAGTGACTTTTTTCAGGAGTTTCGGAAGAGAGCAGAGAAACGGGGTGGTAGTTGCTGGGGGTTGTGTTGTCAAGGAACTTATAAAAGACAGAGAAATGTTGCACAATGTTAATATGCTTATGCTATGTTATCCAGCATAGAGAGAAGAATTAATAATGTAGGACTGAGGGTGACAACTGCTGGAGTGAAAATCTTGAGACCATAAGGAAGACAGAATCTATAATAATACATGAGTGGAAGAGTTGAATTTAGATAAGAGCATGAACAGTTCACTCCCTGTAACAGGAGGGAATACAGTGCACAGGTCCAGATGTAGGCAAACTTGGCAGATTTGGTGATGAGGACTTTAACCCCTGAAATACAAATCTATATGTTTCAGAGTCCAACGTTTTTATCTAATGAATTCGGCAACAGGGTAAAGCTAATAGACTAAATTATCCAAAAACTTTTGAAGAGAGCGTATATCAGATGTAGACATCTTTCCTTCCCACTTTTAATTTTGCCCTCCCTGGGAAAAATTGTTGGTCCCAAATAAAATTAAAATATTCAATGAAACACATTATTTTATATGTAGATAAAAAATAATTTTAACTTCTGAGAAAATATCACACTTTTCAAAACACTAACAATACATAAAATGTTTTTATTGTTAGATAATTGTCGAGATTCAGCTGAAGCTCAGCATAAGGAATGCATGAACTTCATCCGTCCATAATGTGCAAAAGACGAAGTGTATAAGGCAGGCAGCTCTTGCCATGGTTGCTGATGGAAAAGACTTAATTTCTTGGAGCCCAAGTTGCCTTATCTGTAAAATAAGGATAACGCCTGCTCTACAGGATTGTTGTGAGCTTCAAAAAAGAAAATATATTTAAAGCTCCTGGCAAACAACAGGTGCTCAAAATATGCAAGCTATCGTTATTAAATTGTGCTTTCTTTTTGAGACCAAACATGTTAAATCATAAATTTCATCTTGTAATGTTCCCAATAGAGGAATAGGTGACAGGCACACGAGGCCTCTCCTTACTATGTTTGCAACTTCCTGTGAATCTATAATTATTTCCAAGTAAAAAGTTTAAAAAAAAGTTCATCTAGTTAGAATTCTATGAGAAATACCTGTAATTCCATTTTCTTGCAAGCCTCCTCCTGAGACACAGTAGGCTGTGCTCTGATAATAGACATGTCTGTGGACTGTAGCAGCTGCAATAAAGGCAGTCACACTCTTCTGATGGAATGACAAAAGCCAGACAAAACAAAAGACTGACATGGTCACTCTAGGTTGGAATCTCAGTTATTCTATCTGGCTCTACTACTTATGGCAAATCATTTAAATGTTGAATCAGTGTCCTCATCTAAAAGCAGGTATACAAGCAACCAGCTTACTTCATAGGAATAGCTAATATTTAACTGTTGAGTATTTTACTCAAACCCACTCAGGTCAATGTAAATGCAGTATCGTGGAAGAAATTATTGCACATTGCAAAGTTGTGATGCATTTTACTAAAATCTACTAAGGCCAACTGAAGTGCAGTGCCACATAGGAATTTACTGCAAACTAATAAGGGGAGAGTGCAGTTGTTCTAGAAGACCTTGGCCCCAAGGTAACTCAGGCCACCCCCACCCCACCCCACAACACTTGTTATCTCAGAGTTTGCTCTACATGAGGCAACAGGACTTCAGCCCCACGGCGATCGGGTGAAAGCCTGGGAAACCGTGTGCTGTGACCTGAGCTCCCAGACAGAGAGGCCACCACGAGACGAAAAGCCAGGCCAGGACAGGGAAGACAGACTGTAGCAAAGGTTGCCACGGCAGCATCCGCGCCTCACCCTTGCAGGTCAGGCAGCTTCAAATTCCCAACATTTGGGGGACCGGGGACTTCCCAGGCCGGGGCGGGCCCGGCGGGGGCCGCGGGGTCAGTCCTAGGGGTCCGCTCCGCGGGGAGGGGGCGTCTGCGGGAAAGGGGCGGGGGCGGCAGGGGGCAGCCGAGGAAGGAGAGGAGGGGCGAGGCGCTGTCGCCAGTCCCCTCCCCTCGTCCGCGCTCCCCTTCCTTCCCCTCCCGGCCGGGCACCGGAGCGCATCCCGCCGAGGCCGGGCCGCTTCAGGGGGAGGCGCCAACTCGCCGCGGTGCCGGGCCCCCGACCGAGCAGTAACCGCTACCCGGAAGGCGGAGCGGACGCGGCTCGGGCCTGCGCCGAGGTAAGAAGGGTGGAGGGGTGGTGTGGGAGGCCGAGGCGGGGCGCAGAAGTGAAGCGGGCCGCTGTCAGGTACCCCCGCGGCGGGCCACCTCTCCCCGCCCCCGCTGCCTGAGCTCCTGACAGCTGTGACCGCCGAGGGGCCCAGGGGCCGAGAGCTGCGCCCGAGCCACGGGCCTAGGCGTCGCCGCGCATGCGCAAGCCTGCGAGCGGGGGCCGGGCGCTCGGTTCTGGGGCTGCTCCCCGGCCCAGGCCGCTGGCTGAGGTTGCGCCGCGCATGCGCGAGTCCGCATGTGTCTGTAGCGTTTGGTGTAGCCTTGGGGCAGCGTCCTGCGGGGAGGCTACGGTCCTCCTCCCGGCTTCCGCATCCAGTGTGCTGGGGCTGGGCGCCCCGGTTCCCACCCTCCCTCCTCTCTGCTCCTCGTCAGAGGCTGCCATGTTTTCATTTCTGTGGCCTCTCCCCTTGTCTCCCGTCGCATAAATGTGGTCCCCGAACCGGCTCCCTGACCCAGTGACAGTGTACGCCTTCGACATTGGGTCTTGCCGTCGAGGCATGGCGCGGAAAGTTTGACTTTGCCAAGCAGAGCTGTCCTGGAGGCGCTGTGGAGGCATGGGGAGAAGTCGCCGTGCGTCTTGTGCCGGAAGACGCCGTCCGGCTCAGCCCCGGAAATAGAGGTTTTCAGACACTGAAAACTTTCCAAGTGCGCCGCCTTGGCCGGGAAAGAACTGAATTGGAAGGCGAGTTCAGAGTGAACTTTTTGCTTTTTGTTCTTTGCGAAATGACATAAAAGGTTGCAGCGGTTCGAGCCCAGGACTGTAACAAAAGTGCATGTTGTAGAGGTGCCTTGTACCGCGTTTGGCGACTTAATCTTTGTCAGAGCCGAATAAAAGCGATTGAGTCACAAACAGTGCTTTGAAACGTTGCTCTTACCCCCGCCCCCCAAGACTGGAAAGTAGCAGTCGCTGTTTAATGTTTATTGAGCTACCCCAGGCTTTGCACGGTCCTAGTGCTGAGTTCCTGCTTGGCTTTACACTTTACTAGACAGTGGTTCTTCGTTATGGTCGGTTTCTTGACTCCTGGGGTTGCTGTGAAGATTATCTAACGATGTCTTTACTGTGTGCCTTGTAATCTTATACGACATGCTCTAATATGTCTTTCATGGGAGTCTATGCATGGCCATTGTGATAAATGTCACCATACTTTATAGGTAAAAAACATTTTTCCAAATAGAGTTCAAATTATTCCGGATTTTACAGTTTAACTCAGCATAGTGAATGAAGAGATTGGACTCTTACATGGACAAGACTAGCCAAATGGCTACTGTATATTGTGCTGAGAAAAACTATATATTGTCTCCACAGTTTACCGCACTTTGCAATTGCTTCTTAATGTCCATTGAGTATGGATGACTTGTGAGGATCTTTTGTAAGAATGGTCATTGCTTTTCTTTATTTGAAACTGTGTAGAAGAAGAGGAGCTTAAATCACCTGATATCATGCTGTTAGGTATTAAATTGTCTCTCTTAGAGATGTCCAAATGAATGACAAACCTAACCAAATTTCAGGCCATAATTAAGTGAGGCTTAGAGGAAGTGGCCAATGGAGAGGAATGAGTTTAGAAGGTAAAGTGAGTTTCCCCTCAGGTCCTTTACTTGACAAACACTGTTATGTTCAAATATCCAAAAACATAAAAAAAAATCTAGGCCGGGCGCGGTGGCTCACGCCTGTAATCCTAGGTCTCTGGGAGGCTGAGGTGGGCGGATCCTTTGAGCTCAGAAGTTCGAAACCAACCTGAGCAAGAGGGTTGCTCTACTATAAATAGTCTCTACTATAAATAGAAATAAATTAATTGGCCAACTAATATATATATAGAAAAAATTAGCCGGGCATGGTGGCTCATGCCTGTAGTCCCAGCAACTCGGGAGGCTGAGGCAGTAGGATTGCTTGAGCCCAGGAGTTTGAGGTTGCTGTGAGCTAGGCTGTCGCCATGGCACTCACTCTAGCCTGGGCAACAAAGTGAGACTCTGTCTCAAAAAAAAAAAAAAAAATCTAGAATTATAAATTAGGGAATCCATGGAATTTGCTTATGCCTTTAGGAGATTATCATAGTCTAGTTCAGTTTTATCCATTGGCTAAAGTGAAATTAAAATGCCCCTAAGACACTGCAATTGTTGAAGTTTACTTGAATTTAAATTACTACAAATCAAAATTATCCAAGAAAGGGAGATTTGAGACCAGCCACAGAATTATTAGGATTGCAAAGTGACTTTAAGGACTCTTGTTAAAGGCTGAAAAGAGAGGTAGGTCCACATGGGGATATTTACTACAAAGGAGCAGATGGCTTGCCTACCTATAAGTGATATTCACAATGTCCATCAGTGGAAGGTTGAGGTGATCCTTTTGGCTTTCATTATCTATAAGGAACATGAGTCCAGTTTACATGGTGATCCCATCCTGACAACATGAAAGTTTCTAGGAAATTTAAGCCATAATAGTTTTTTCAGCATTAATCTGACATTGCAGTGTGTATGTTTTATGTCTTCAGCATTGCTAATCTAACCTGAGCTAATATCTATTATGTATGTCTCTCCATGGGAGACATTTTGAGGTAGCAAGTACCAACGGATGATAGTATGTGAATAAATCATAAATTGTGACCACATCTTAATATGTTCTGTATTATGCTGAATGTATGTCCTACTGAACAAAACAAATTCTAAGTGAAAATGAGTCAACTCCAAGAGGGCCTATCATATTGAAGGAATATATATGTTGTGGGGTAAAGATCTTTAACAGTTAGGATTCTATTCAATAGGCATGTTAAGATTTTTTTTTTTAATTTGCGTTAGATCTATAAGGATTTATAAATGAGCTCCAAGTCCCATCTCATGTTAGTTAATATAATAAAAGTATCTGTATAATTTATGTTGATTATTTTTCATTTTGAAGAGTGACACTTTCTGTGTGTAGCTGAAAAGACCAAAGTTGAGAGCTCAGTAATCTCTTCAAACTAAATACAGCTTTGCTTTGGACTGAAGATCTGACTCATCTCACTTGGTAAAATTTGGAAACCTTTTGACAAACAAATAATTAAAATAGCAACTGTGTTTCTGTGTTCTATAATCAGTTTGCTATTTCTCATAGACATGGCAATACCCTTTCCTGTGAGATTGTGGTCTAGTTTTACTTGTGCTTTTAGTTTTTAGTTTTGTCCTTCTTGCTTATAATTGTTTCACTTTAATTAGCAGCCATGTAAACATCTTAGTGTTGTCATTTATTTCTGAGGTCTCATTTAAATGGAACTAAATTACAGTTAACATTATCCTTTTTTGCAAGTGACATTTGAGATCATGTGTTATTATTTTGTATTTATATATGTATATTACTTATAATTTGTAGATGACACTAAACAAACTATTAAATTTACCAACTAAGGACTCAGCTAAGCATATCCATGGGAACCATCACTAACCCGTTGACTTTTACATGGTCTGGAACTCAGTAACGCACTGAGACTGAAAATTGTGTGCTGGTGTCTTAAAAGACATTGGTTTTATTTACTTACCCATTTCTTTGATTATAAAGCATCATCAGAGGTGTTGCCCAGATGGGAGAATTTGTTAAAAGCATGGAATTCTGTATTGCAAGAATTTTTTTTTTATACATTATGTTTCTCAAGCATAGCTGTAGAGTTGACCTTATATTATCAAGTTGAATTTAAAAATACATAACACTGGGATTTCTCTGTAGAAATTCCTTATTTTTCACTTTTTCTTCTGGGATCACTTCTAAATAGTTATAAGCATGTAGAAGCTCCCAATTAACTACAAAATATCTGCTCTTAAAGCCCACCATTGGGTTGGAGTAATGTGGAAACAAGCCCCTAAGAGCTGGATAGTCTGTGGCTCTATGTTATTTTGTTTTCTTTTTTATGTATTTGCTTTCTGTTCAGTGCCTACTGCAGGCTCTAAAGCAATATTTACTGAATAAATTAGGCAAATGCATGTATGTCCTATAATCAGCTTAACTCATTATTTAGGTCAGAGGTATTACCAAGTAATGTGACACATTGTGTAGCAGGTACACTTACTAATACTGTTTACTTTACCAACACCAATATGTTCAGACTGCCTATTATATACTTTGTACAGGGAAATGAATTGTTTGACCTGGTCTATGTGAGGATTAGAAATGAATATGTTTACCACATTATGAAAAGATTGTCTTCTTGTCCACTAGTCTTCAACTGTGTAGTTATTAAGAGTGTAGAGAAAACTCGCAAAACACAATATGTAAAAATAAGAAGTTATCTGTCCTAAACAGAGATAATTTGAAAATACATTATTGAACTATACAAATTTAGGAAAACAGCTGAAATAGAAAATGTCATACAACAGATTACCTTACTTGATATATTTTTGGCTTTGAAAAATTACTCTTACAAAAACTTGAACATTGGCCGTTGAATGTCCAATTTGGAACCTCTAAAGGCATGGATCAATGGCAGGAGCTTCTGCTTGGAGAAGATAGGTATCCTTCCATTTTTCTATTTACACTGCAAGGCAAATATCAGTACAGTAAGATTCTATAATAACAGGTTTTATTGCTTTAAAACAAAGTGAGGAACTACATAAGAAACTATTTTGCAAAGCACAAAGCACTTTTTAATATGAATAATTAACCACATATATATATAAGCTGAGTCATATATCCCAAAACAAACATATAAGAGGAAAACCAATAAAGCAACATATAGTAAGATCATATGGGATGATCTATGCTTTGACACTGTCACTAGAAAGATCTTCCCAATACAGATGTCAGGCACAGCCCTGGCTCTATAAGAAACAATGCCCTCCTATGCAGAAAAGGGTGAAGTTGGTAAGCAGATTGACACCAGAAGTAGAAAACACACTTTTGCCATTCTACACTGATGTTAAATGTTTCTATTTTGGATTTTTCTTGCATACAAAATAATAGAAATGCTACTTCTTGGCTATGTTATTTAGTTATCTTCATAGGGTATTCATAACATTTTTATTTTGAAAACCATTTTGTCAGATGGAAAAGGCACAACTTACCAATTCATTGTTTAAATTACGTGGTACCCTTTGTCTTTGGCATTATTTCCATTAACATTTTTCTATAAAAAAAAATCCCATGAAAGTCTAGCTGCATATATGTTGATATCCATAACACATTAAAATAGTATTGTTTTCTGCATGCTTTATCAGATAGTCTACTGTATGCATCATTTTGTGACTTAGTGATTTTTGGCCAACATTCTTTTGGAGATTTACCTGTGTTGATTCTAGATAATTTATTTTAATTACTGTATAGTATATATGCCACAGTTGATCAATTCTGTTGATCAGTTCTGTTTGCTATTTCTTGTTTTTTCACTATAAGGAACAATTGTGTATATATGCTAGAGTTCATTTAGGCAAGTGTTTTCCAAAGTATAGATGTGACTTATTAGTGATCTTGACATTATATTAATGGGCTGAGATCACCATTTTCTTTTAAATTGGAATAGAATAGGATAAAATAGGATAAGGCAGGTAGAATAAAATAGCATAAAATAGAAAACGTAGAAAAGAAGAAACCACCAAGCATCATGTAAGATTGGTAAAAATTATGTTGTGAAATTTTTGTTTCAGTTACATATATGTATCAAAAAGGATTGAAAGACACTGCTGTGATCTAAATATTGTTGAGTTCTCTAAAGTGATTGTTCCAGTTTACATTTCTTCCAGCAGTATACAAGTGTGCCTTTTGACCTACATCCTCACCAGCTCTAGATATTGTCTGTCACCTTTTAATTTTTACATATCTGATGGATGAGATCTGTCTTATTGTGGTTGCATTTCCATGATAAATTCCATGGTGAATCTGAGTATCTTTTAATATGTTTGTTAATTTCTTGTTCTGTGAATTGCCTTTGTCCTTGGCCCATTTCTGAATTGTGTTTTTTTATCTTGTTCTTATTGATTTGTAGGCATTCTTTATATATTAATCCTTTGTTGACAGTCAGTTGTATAAGTTGCAAGTATCTTACCCTATTATGTGGCATATTTTTCCCATTTTCAGATTTGCCAGTCTTTGTGGTATATACTTTCATGTCTTATTTTAAGAAATCTTTCCCTGCTCTGAGGTCATAAAGATATTTTCTATATTTTCTTCTTAAAGTTTGGAAATTTTACTTTTTTCACATTCCACATGGATTCCTTTTTATTTTCCATATTGAAATACTGTAGATTAAACTCTTTTAAGTATGTATTTTTTCATGTTTCAGTGTATAAATTGTTGAAACTCTCTCCCAAAACTTATATGTCAAAAGTTATATTTTATAATTTTAATATTTTTATAAGAGTACCTCTATTGTGGATTTTTAATAATAAAGCTGATATAATTCTTAAACTGTATTTTTCTCAGATAAATAATGAAATATTAAATTTGCAAGATGAAATATTAAATTTGCAAGATGGTATTTACTTTTCCTTTTCTATTTTTCTCTAATGGAATTTATTTATGTATTTATATTTCTAGTCACATTAACTTTGTCCTAGAAGACAACTTTACAAGGCTCTAAAAGGAACAGGATTAAAGATGACCGAATTCTTGGCTCCAGAAATTTAAAACCATCAGGTACAAATGTCTTTGTAGAGAATGTTCCAGCCAGTTCTGTAAAATAAAACTGTTTGGCATGTACACAGGAAAAACTTAATATATCTATGCCTGCAATACAGTGGCAGGAGCAAGGGCTTTGGAATTAGTCCTGGGTTCAAATACTGGCTCTGACCCTGAGCGGTTGGTGACTATTGGTCAAGTTACTGAAACGTGTGAATAAAATGGAGGAAGTGATTTCATTTGGTTGTTATAAAGATTATAGGAGATAGTGTAAGGTACTTAGTGCTTGGCACAGAGTAACTGTTTATTTTTACTGTTATTATCATTGCTATTGTTATTTAGAATATATGTTTATCACATCATGGATGTGGTTTCCTGTAGGTATATTGTGGATTTTTAAAAAAAATATATGGATATTCTACAGCAATATGATAATAGCTTGCTGAAATCTTGTGCATAACTGGAATCTCCATATGTATCACATAAACTATATTCCTCAAATAATGCAGATTGAGGGACCTAGTTTTCTCTGTTAGTATGCATCACATTGAAATCATGTAAAAAAAGAATAAGCCAACCATTTTTCACAAAGCTAGAGAATTCAACAATTTATTTTATAGCATCATACAATAATAATTAATCTTGAATCATTTTTAGATCTTGAAGGACTTTCTGATCAGCAAACATGAACTTATGAACTTATATTTCATGCCAATTGAGTCTTAGTAAATGTCATTTCCTCAAATGTGGTAATTTCTATGCCACACAGTTGAGTCTTAACCTGCTCAGTCAGATAAACAGAATGGCCTATTTTCCCACCATTCTAATTTTAAAGAGTTTAATTATACTTGAAATTGATCAAAGGCACTGAAAAGAGTTCTTTTCCTACTTAAAAGCCCAGGATTAGTGTTCCATTATCTTAGCACTTTAGCAAGATTTCTCTTCTACTAGGAACAAAAGGGGCTTAAAGTAGTAGGGTGAAGGGAAGTCACATTCTATTTGGTCCCTTTTTCTTCTTTCTCTTCCTTTCCTCTGTCTTCTCCTCCCTCTCCTCTCTTTTTATTTTTATTTTTTCAAGTAAACTTAGGGGCAGATATGGAAAAGGTATTTCCAGTTAGGATGGGGCAAAAAGAGAGGGATCCTCTATATAGACAGACTCCAATATATAAAAAGCTGTATTCTAAGGATGCTGTCAGTGAATACATTGTGTTCTACTCAGGGCCGCATGCCATGGGGGTTATATCAAAGAAAGAATCATGGTCCCTCTCCTAAAAACTTTGCAAATTAATAGGGAAGATAAATAATATAGGAATAGCTATCACATGAGGCAGAATATGAAAACCATTAATGAAGTTTTAAAAACAAGTGCTGTGGAAATACAGAGAAGGGACCGCAGCCCATTTGGGTAATCAGGACCCAGGTTAATGTGACAGTCATGCAGGATTTTAGAGAAAATTAGGATTTTAACAGATTTGCTAGATAATGTGCAATAAGTATAAATAAAATATGGCAACATATGTTTTTATATTGTCAATCAGATGAAGTCGCATAAATTTTTAAGTGAGAAATTTTTAGGTGATCCTCTTCAAAACAAGCATATCTTTTTTGACTTGTTTCCAAACATTAGAAATAATGATTTGTTATTAATTACTATAGTTTTGAGTCATAATTGTTCTGAATATATTATTCCTCATATTCTGAGAGACCTTTTTACAGCCGAGGGAAAAATATATTTTCAAGGGCATATAAAATATTGATAAGGGGATTTGGTGGCTTGTGTCTATAATCCTAGCTCTTTGGGAGCCAGAAGTAGGAGGATTGCTTGAGGCCAGGAGTTTGAGACCAGCTTGAGCAACACAGCAAGACTCTATATCTACAAAAAAATTTTTTTTAAATTAAAGAACCCCTACATTGTTAGAGAACACTGTTAAGATTTAACCTTATTTGTTTTTATCTATCACAGGACCCAATCTGATAAATTACAAAAAGCAACACTGTTGAATACAGTTCTATTAAATTGCTTTTGGGGGGACAAAGAATATTTTATTTATATTTATATTTAGCGACGAGGTAGTTAACTGTGTAATGATTGAACCACAGTGTAGACATATTGCATATCTTCTAATAGGGCTACACCTGCTGTTATTAATACTTCTACATGGCAGAAAGCCGTCATTGTGGAGATGGTTATGAAGGCAAGATCACTCAGTCCTGTGGGTGCATACATGATGGCTGTTGTTTCAGATTTGTCATCAGAGTGCAGTATAACAAAGCCACATTCATTCATTCATCCTTTCATCCTTTTCATTCATATCTCCTTTTTATTTTTTTTTCCAGCTTAGCAAATCATATATTCTTCAGTGGAGTTGAGAATTGATAAATCTGCTCTTCACAGTGATTTGGAACTTTCCAATCCCAGAGAAAAGTTGACCAAGGTCTAAAATTTATTTTTCCTTATCTATAGGAATTCAAGTCTGAAATGAAAATTGTCTACTTGTGTCCTTATGGATTTAAGGACCTATATATATCTCCTCAGATTACTTTCTCAGACCTCAGCAGGAGGGTTCCCATAAAAGGCCATTAGTAGTTCCAGATAGTGAAAACATCTTTTGGGTTTTATAGCTGTTAATTCCCATACCTAAAGCTTAACTCTTTTATTTCCCCTTCACCGTATTTGAGCTTAGCTTATTTTCTCTGTTCATTAGAAACAAAGTAATTTTAACCTGCCTAGTTTCATCCAACATATGGGATCCTGATTTTACCACATACTTTTTTCCTCAGGGACTGTACAGGACTGAGTCCATATGGAAGAAGAACTTCCTCTTTTCTATGGAGAGAGTGGCAAGGTTAGAAAAAAAAGCACGCCCTTGGAGCAAGCATGTGCATTCTATTGCATGGAACATACTTCATCAAACATCTGTTGGTCACCCAGTAGAAATATCAATGAGATAGTATCTATATTTGAGGGGCTCGCAGTGTTGTGATTGAGATACCAACAGATTATTATTATGGGTATGCAGAATGCTGAAGGGGCCAGCAGGGAACTGATCATCAGAGGGGCAGAGAAAGGGCTCCCAGAGATGGTGAGGATGGCTGAGAAATGCAGACCAGCCCCTGCACTCACAGATAGTGCTGTCCTGAAAAAGACCTTGAGTCGAACAACAATTACTCCATTCCCAGAGATTAAAAAACAATTATAAACTACCTAATCTTAGATGATATGTTCTCAGTTTATCGTAGGCATTCTTTAAATTTCTTTCTTTTCCATCACATCCAAATGTTACAGTCCACCAGCTTCAGTCCAGTCAGTGTCCAGCTGATGTTAAAAGTTTCACATCTTGCAGCATGCACGTTGATTTCCTTGTTGTATTATTTTATTAAATTTACAAAATACCAGCTCATTGCCATTAACAGCTTCATATAAACTATCGCTATTAATTATTTATTTGTTTTCCATTCTTATTTAATAAAATTAGGTCGAAATTCAATAAAAGATGTAAATAATTATACAAAGCCAGCACAGTGTACCAAGATGGCAAAGCTTCTGAAACCAACCCATGGCATCATTACGTGCTCACATTCATTTGTGAGCCCTCGTAGGGACGTCCAAAAGTAGCTTACAAAAGTTATGTACACAACCTGAGAGTCTAACAAAATGTTATTAGAAAAAATTTCTGATTTTTCCTGGGAACAGATTTTGTAAAATAAAAGAACAGATTCACAGAATCAGCAGTGAAATCACTTGGTTACCTACAAAGTGTTATTTATAATGCTAGGAAATCCTCAAAAGGGAGGTGTTGGTATTTTTTCTTAAGAAATTTTTGTTTTTCGCCAGGCATGACTAACATGTCATTTCGACTCCATGTATATAGGCTGTGTTTTAAATTGATTTGTGACAACTTGTTAGTTGTCTGTAATTAAGTGCAGTTTGCTAATCCACTTGATCATGTGGATGGAGAAGCATGGTTATACAGGTAGCACACTCTCAAAAGACTGATAAGATACAATTTTATGGCAGATGTATTTCTTTAATTATGTCTTCCTTGAGCAAATATTAAAATTTTGCTACTTTTAATTTCCCAAACAGATGCCAGGTAAAGGTGAGAAAGGTGGCTTGGATTGGAGTACAGTAGTAAAAGAAAACAGGCCTGAGATACTTATCACCTAAGGTAGTGTTATGTACAGTGAGGAGGGTTACTTAGGCCAAACCAGGACTGTGAATTCCAGGAACGTGATCTTATTGCTGAACAATACCAAACTCTCATTTCCTAGAAGTGCTTTTGTTCCTCATGCAGGTTTTTCTATTGCCCATGCTTGGCTTTTGCTTAGCCAGTTCCTTACGTGGCAGGTGGACATAGAGTGGATTGGATGCCTTCTGCAGAGACAGCTGCTGTCATGCAGAGAGGCTGCAGTGAGCTGGAGACTCCCACAGGGGCCTGCATGTGTGTGACTCCTTTATACATTGTCTCACAAGCATGCTGGTCAGAAAATCTTTTTTTATTCTGTGAACAAAGACGCTGTAATTCCTTGAGACTAATACAGGTTGAGTATCCTTTTTTCTGCAATGCTTGGGATTAGAAGTATATTGGATTTTTTTGGATTTTGGAATATTTGCATTATACTTACCAGTTGAGTATCCCTAATCTGAAAATCTGAAATACTCCAATGAGCATTTCCTTTGAGCATGACCTTTGAGCTTCATATTGGCGTCCAAAAAGTTTTACATTTTGGAGCATTTCTGATTTTGAGTTAAGGACGCTCAACCTGTATTCAATATTTACTTCAAAAAAAGTATAAATACATGTATTTTGTAAATTAAGTCATCAGTTCCCTATGTAATAGTTCCCCCACAGGCTTAAAAAATGAGTCTTTGATAACTAACCTCCAACAGTCAGCCTTCTGACAAAGATTTAAAAAGCAATGTATTCACATTTCCTTGTAGTTAGCTTATATTATAATTTTTTCCATTAAATTGTGACCTCCTTAAAGGGAATGATTACATTTCATTTTTATATGTTTAGTTTAATGATAATATTAGATCTGTCATGAGTAGCATCTTTTCATAAAATGCATAGACTGGAGGTTACATTAAAACACACACACAACATTGGAATCCCAGTAGTCAGTAGAATCACAGGCAGGACAGTTTGGGTTTTTGTATACATGGGCCAGGAAGATAGTTTAGATGTAATAATGATTAGTAGACAAGTTTTAAAAGCTGGTCGGAATTTACAACCTGATTCTAGGTATACCAGAAATCACTTGATTACGTAGCAGAGAAGGATGAAATCCAAAATCTGCTTGATGGGAAGAAATGAGGCAGTAGTCAGTCATTGTGTCTGGCCACCTGCCTTACATGTGGAAGGCAAACCCACAGTGGGGATTATTGCTCTGTTCCTTAAGGGCTCTATGGGAATAGCCAAAGCCCTGCAAATGCAAACATTAGTGCCTATCTTTTGGTGTGGCCCAAAAGATAATAGAAAGTGTTATTCTTGGGGCAGGATCTTATGATCCAGGTGGCATGGGGAGGGAATGTGGCTGTATTTGGCCATCAGGGGAGCTCAGCCCTGGTTCAGGCTCTGCCCCTAACTCACAGGGCAATGCTATTAGAAGGGACAAACTGCTTAGCTTCTATAGCTGTTGTAACAAATTAAATAACTATAATTAAAACAACAGAAATTTATGTTCTCACAGTTCTGGAGGCTAGAAATCTGAAATCAAGTGTTCTCAGGGCTATGCTTTCTCTGAAGGTTCTAGGGAAAAATCTTCCCAGCTTCTGGCGGTGGCTCCTGGCAATCCTTGATGTTCCTGGACTTAGAGATGCACAGATCCACCCCAAATCTCCGCCTCCATTGTCACATGGCCTTCCTCCCTCTGTGTCTCTGTGTGCCCTCTTGTCTTCTTCTCGGGACATTAGTCCAAATTGGACTTAGGGACCATTCTAATCCCATATAACTTCCTCTTTTTTTTTTTCCTTACAAAAGACTAATTTATTAATTCAAATTTTTAGACAAAAGAGTTTTAAAATAATTTGGACAACTTGAAAAAATTGAGGATTTATAATATTTTCAATTTGAAAAACTTTGAACCTTAAAGAACAAATTCTATAAAGCAGCAAGGCCTACGAGAGTAAAAGAAGATGGAGACCTGCTCTCTGGGTAGTAATAAGATGCCCAAACACGACCTTCCAACCAAAAAGCAAATGAGACTTCTTGTTCCAAAGTGTGTTTGTGAGACTAACTCACTGCCATCACGAAGCCATTCCTCTTACAGAAGAGAGTGTTTACTCTGATCCAGCCCATACGTTACCTTCTGGGGTAACTTGTATGGGAATGGGGTGAGATCTAGTACAGTTTTATTAAATAGATACAATGTGATTTCATAAAGGGTTGGTAATAAGCAAAAATCTAAAGTAACCTGTGTGGTATTTAAAAATAATTGAGAATTGTGACAACTTAAATTATTTTCAGGACGTGTTATCTTAATATATAAGAAAGGGATCAAGTTCTTAATCTCCATGGGCGCAGACACACTGAGCTCAGGGCAGTACAATTCAATGCTAAGTGGCTACTCCACGGAAAGCCACGGGCCCTGAAAGACCACGAGGCCTGGGTGTCTATTCCTTGTATAACACTCTCATGAACAGCATTCCAGCAAGGCTTACTAATTGCAATACAAAACTTTGAGTTATATTCTCATAATGATTGTTTTCTTCATGACTTCCTCTTCTTACATCTGCAAAGACCTTGTTTCCAAATAAGGTCACTATGAGTTTCCAGGTGGACGTGAATTTTTGGATTTTGGGAGACAACCATTCAACCCAGTACAGCCCCTCTTGGGCTTTCTTCAGGTTTCTCACCCGTAAAATGACCTTTGGAGCTTTTTAGCCATAGCATCCAGTAATTCTTTGAACATTAGTCAGAAAAGATAGAAACCTAAAACAGAGCTAAAATTACAATAAAAAGCTGGTGGCTCTACTTATTTCTGCTGTAAGTTCAGTGGTCACTGGGACAGCTGTTTGACGCTTTTACTCATTGCAGACCTCACTTTGGATTGTTAGCTGTGATCAGGGGGAACTTAAAAGTTTGAAACTTGGTAATAGAGTAGTGTTTGGCGACATGGCTCAGGTGAAGTAGAAATGGAGAGCACTGGGGTGGTGAGTAGAAACCAGAGGGGCCAGAAAATTGGAATATCTTCTTCTGGAACGAGTTACAGAGGATGAGATGGACAGGAGGGCTGTGGACCCAGAAGCGAGCCATCCATTCAAACGTTCATTTGTTTATTTGACCAACACAGGTGTTTATTGTATTCTTGACTCTATTCAAGGGACCAATGACACGGTGGTGAAGTGTCTCTGTCTCTGTCCTCCTGAAGGGTACTCAAGGGTCTGTGAAGGGGGGCCCAGAATACCTCACAGTCGTGAGGATAGGGGAGCTTTGTAAGTCCCTGGTGTGGACTTAAGAAGAGCAGAGTTGCTGACTTGTGCTTTCAGACATCCTCTCCTGACTCCTAAGGACAAGTGTTCTTTCAGATCTGCAGAAAATAAGTAGCTGGGCCGCCCAGCTCTGTACCAGAACTCATTCCTAGTAGGGATGCTTTAATGGCTAATGAGAAAGAGCACCCTTAGAAAAACCTTTGCTCTTTTAAGTTAAGCATGAGTTTGGTGATTATTGTGGAAAATGGCCAAACATAGCATTTGATAGGCATTTTGGCTGTTGATGCATCTTATTATAATCACCAAAATTTTTGAAAGTTGAAGAGTATATAAGTAAAAATGCCTCCAATGTAGCAAATAAGTAAAAACTGTCTTTTCAAACAACTTTATAATGTGCACATTCAGTGCTCTTATGGGAGTGCAGATGCTCATGAAGATATGCTGTTACAGGCTTAATTGCCACCCTCCAAAATTCATGTGTTGAAGTCCTAACATCCAGTACCTTAGAACGCAGCGTATTGGAAATGGGGTCATTGCAGATGTATTTGGTCAAGAGGAGGTCATTAGGGTGGACCTTCATCTGATATGACTGGGATCCTTTAAGAAAGGGGACATTTGGACGCAGAGGTACGCAAGGGGGAAGACGATGTGAATAGACGTGGCGAGAAGATAGTCATTTACAAGCTAGGAGGGAAGGCCTAGAACAGATCTTTCCCTCACAGCCCTGAGAAGGAGCCCTGATACCTTCATTTTGGACTTTCCGCCTCCAGAACTGTAAGCCAATAAATTTCTGGTATTTAAATCACCAAGTTTGCCGTACTTTGTTACGGCTGCCCTAGCAAACTAGTACAAACACTTTCTAGGTGTCTCTTCCTACCTCTCCCCCCAAACCTTAAGTGGGTGGTGAGGAAACCCATCAACCTCTCAAACTGAAGGTCAGGTCAGGCTTGCCCATGAACTGAAACTTTTGGACCATTTCCCTGGTGTCGCCTTCAGCATTGTCCTTTTCTAAGGATTTGTTTTATTAGGACTTAGGCAGCAGAAGAAATGGCAGGTCTCTCTCACGCACTCACTCTGCCTCTCTGTCTTGCTTTTATAGCCAGCCTAGTCTCCACAGCTACATTTAAGATATAGCCGGTATTTAAAACACTAGCTAAACAGCTCCCCAAAGTTCAGCTTTGGCTGATTCCCGAGTCCTTGAAGAAAATGAACAGGCGAGACCTGGTTCCACCCGGCCCCTGGTGCTCAGCGGCTGTGAGGGCAGCCAGCACAGAGGCGAGGCCTGCAGCCCTGAGAGCCCTCTCAGAAGCTCGTGCGGCCTGCCAGTCCTCTTCCACGGAACTGAAGGGGCAAAGAAAATTTAACTGTGATTAGTAGTAGTCTCAATATATATATTTTTTTCCTTTTCAGTCAGTACAGGCTACTCTGTCGTCTTTGAAGATGTTAGATGTGGGCAAGTGGCCAATTTTTTCCCTTTGTTCTGAGGAAGAACTGCAGTTGATTCGTCAGGCGTGTGTCTTTGGCAGTGCTGGCAATGAAGTTTTATATACTACAGTAAACGATGAGGTAATTTTGAAGAAAATAATTCGGCCACCCGTATTTTTAGAAATGGGTTTGCTAAATTGAAGATCTTGGGGGAACTAAGGAATAAAGGTTAAAAAAAAAAACATGGAAAGTAGATTGTTATTTGTTATATAAATGAAGCAGTTTGCTTTAGGAGGATGATGCCTGTTTGGATATAATTTATAGGTTAGTCAGAAATAGAATTGCTTGAACTAACGGTGGTTTTTTTTCCCCATAGATTTTTGTGCTTGGCACGAACTGCTGTGGCTGTTTGGGGTTAGGTGACGTCCAGAGCACCATTGAACCTCGGAGACTGGATTCCTTAAGTGGCAAAAAGATAGCCTGCCTCAGCTACGGTAGCGGTCCACACATTGTCCTTGCAACAACAGGTAACAGGAACGCCACGTAGAATTTCAGCCATTGCTTTATCTGTTGAGGAGCAAGACTAGGACCACCCTTAACCACTTCGGTACCAGCGTCAACTATAGCCAACAGCCACAGATGAACACACACAGAGACTTTAGCAGACAGCCGTGATAGGACTTTTCTAATTTTTCATTTATCAAAATAAAGTTGTAAACATTTAAAAATACCGTAATAAAAACATATATGTATATGTTACCTATTCTGATTTACATGACAAGTAAAGCTGCCTGTAAAGTAAAACAAGCTTTCAGTGCTTTAAAGCTTTCCTCATCACACAAGAGCAAAACGGATTCACCATCAATGCACAGCACAAACTATCGAGCAGACTATGAGTGCCGGCTGTGGGCAAGGTGAGCGCCGTACCGAAGTGGTTAAATTGAGAATGTACTTTTTGATTGGGTGAGAGTTTCTGGCTCCACCCAGTGAACTTGACTATGCTTTGAACAACATGAAATGGGAACATATCTGAATATATCTTACTCTGGTAAGATAATGTAGCAGATGGAATCTAGCAGTTATTGGCATTTTAGATGTATGAATGACAGTGCTATAAACCCAGGTAACCCTACTCAACTCACTGTGGACTTTGGCAAGTCTGCTTTTTGAACTTTAGATTCCTGATCTGTGAATTGAGAGATTAAACCTTGATTTCAACAACCCCTCCCCCAACTTTTAGCATTCTGTGGGTCTTACACTAAATAGTGACTGATGGCGGTAGTAGGAATTAGTAGTATAAGGAATTAAACATCCTTATGGCTATTTCATAAATTCAGACTAATAAGATAATTAGAATTAAAACATACCTTAGAGTTGTCCTTCAGCTTAGTATTCATTATATTAGTATTCTTTAAACTGAAAATAATTTTTATAAATAGGCTTTATGTTTTTTATTTTTTTTGGGGGGACAGAGTCTCACTTTGTTGCCCAGGCTAGAGTGAGTGCCATGGCGTCAGCCTAGCTCACAGCAACCTCAAACTCCTGGGCTCAAGCAATCCTCCTGCCTCAGCCTCCCAAGTAGCTGGGACTACAGGCATGTGCCACCATGCCCGGCTAATTTTTTTCTATATATATTAGTTGGCCAATTAATTTCTTTCTATTTGCAGTAGAGACGGGGTCTCGCTCTTGCTCAGGCTGGTTTCGAACTCCTGACCTCGAGCAATCCGCCCGCCTCGGCCTCCCAGAGTGCTAGGATTACAGGCGTGAGCCACCGCGCCTATAAATAGGCTTTTATAGGTTTATTTTACATTTAAAAAATAAGTTCTAGGGATTTTTGGTTTTTAGTAACAACAGATTAGATTATTTGGATCACCTCTTTACCTAAAACAACTAAAATCCTAGATAAAATTGTTTTTAAAAGTTTTCATGAAGATAGCAAAAGCACTGACCAGGCAGAAAGAACTTATCAGACCAAATTTAAAAGGTTAGGGGGGAACTAACCTTAGTTAGTTCTAACCTTAGTTAGGTTCTAGAACTAACCTTAGTAAGGCTACTTTTGCCTTAAAGGCATCTGTCTGCCCACCTAACCTGAGTTGTGGTTTGGATATACTCAGGAGGTGAAGAGGTGATAGGTCAAAGTCCTACTTGGCATGGAGTCTAACAGAAGGCCTCCCAGCTTAGGCTGGGACTGCAGAAACTACACCCCCAAGCAGAGGATTAGCCGCTTCCTAAGAATTGACAAGAATTCCTTGCCCTGAACAAAGCAGGAAGGAAAAAAAAATGAAAAGAAATAAAATTTCTCCTCAAGAGTTTATGACCATATTCCTTGCTCTGAGCAAAGCAGGGAGGATAAAAGAAAGAAAAGAAAGAAAATTTTTCCCCAAGAGTTTGTAACCATGGACTTGTAATTTAATTTACATCAGATTGGATGGTCCAAGAAATCTTAAGCCTTGAATTTATTAGAGGTACTGGAATGTCAGTGCCTTAAGGACACAATAGTAGTAAATACAAATTCTTTCTAGAGGACGTCACCTTCGTCCTAGGCCTCAGGGAATCACCCCGAATAATTTTTCTTTTTTTTTAAAATTATTTATTATTATCATTATTATTTAGAGGCATGGTCTCATTCTGCTACATAGGCTGGGATATGGTGGCATGATCATAGCTCACTGGAACCTCAAATTCCTAGGTTCAAGTGATCCTCCTGCCTCAGCCTCCCAAGTAGCTGGGACTACAGGCACCTGCTGTCATGCCCAGCTAATTTTATTTTATTTTTTAAGAGATGGATGTCTGACATGTTGTCCAGGCTGGTCTTGAACTCCTGGGTTCAAGCTATCCTCCTGCCTCCTTGCCTATTGGGATTACAGACATGAGCCACTGCACCCAGCTGCCAAATAATTTTTCAATGGCAATAAGCAGCACATACTCAAAGATAACCAGGTGTACAGTAGTATTTCCTGATCCATGGTTTCATTTTCCTCGGTTTCAGTTACTTATAATCAACCATGATCTGTAAATATTAAATGGAAAATTCTAGAAATAAACAATTTATAAGTTTTAAATCTTGCACCATTCTGAGTAGCATGATGAAATCTTTGTGCCATCACACTCCATCCCACCTGGGACATGAATCATCCCTTTGTCCAGCAGATCTGCACTACCTGTGCTACCTGCCACGCAGTCAGTTAGTAGCTGTCTGGGTTATCAGATCCAACTTGTGGGATCGCAGTGCTTGTGTTCAAGAAACCCTTATTTTACTTAATAATGGCCCCAAAGTGAAAAGAGTGGTGATGCTTGCAATTTGGATGCACCAAAGAGAAGGCATAAAGTGCCTGCTTTAAATGAAAAAGGAAAGTTCTCCACTTAATGAGGAAAGAAAAAATCGTATGCTGAGGTTGCTAAGATTTATGGCAAGAATGAATCTTCTATCTGTGTAATTGTACACAATATTACTATATTTCATAATTGTTCTATTTCATTATTAGTTATTGTTAATCTCTTACTGTACCTAACTTATAAATTATACTTTATCATTGGTATGCATGTATAGGATAAAACAGAGTATATATAGCATTTGGTACTATTTGCAGTTTCAGGTATCCACGGGGGATCTTGAAACGTATTCCCCAAGGATAAGGGGGGAACTACTATACAAGTAAACAAGGTACCGTGAATAAGAACCAGCAGAAACAATAGACAGCAGGAACTGACTACTAAACATCAGATGTTAGAATTATCACACACCTATAAGATAGCTATAAGATAACTATATCTATTGTTTGAAGAAATAAAAAATGAGCTTGAAGATATCTGTAGAGATCATAGAAGATTTGAAAAAGAACCAAATGAACAACATAATTATAAAAATGAAAATTCTGTGGCCAAATTCTGTAGCGGCTTGAACACAGCAAAAGAGAAAGTTAATAAACTGGGAGATAGAACACAAGATATTATTCAGAATGTAGCACAAAGAAACAATATAGTGGGAAATACAGGTGAAATGAGTACATACTTTGGGATTCCACTTATTTAAGTTTCAAAAACAGGAAAAATGAAATCCTTTTATGCAAGATATATGTGTGAGGGGCTTTATGGGTAGTTATAAGGCTATATGTCTTGATCTGAATAGTAGTACATGGTCATGTGCTTTATAATTATTTCCAAAACTGTACATATGTTTTTATGAACTTTTCTGAGTATGTATTATATTGTATAATATATACTATAATAACAAAGATTTTAAAAAACTAACTTGTTGATAATTTTTTAGATAAGAAAATTAAGACCCAGAGGAATTAAGTGTCCTTACAGTCTTCCAACTTTCAGTCTGATTTTTCTATTACTCTTAGCAGCCTTTTCTCTGTTATTTATTAAAAAGCTCTCTTCCAGCTCTTACAACTACATGCATTTAAATTTCATATTGTTACTTTGGGTTAGAATTCAGTTTACACTTTCCTAAGAGATTCTTTTGTAGAATGAATTTGGTAGAATAGATAAGTTAGTAACTTTTTGGACTTGAATTTTTAGTTTTCATTTGTGGAAATCATGCAATATATATTTTCATATAATGAAGTAGATGTTTTGGAAGCTGGTTATCTTTCTTTTTATTTTCAGAAGGAGAAGTCTTTACCTGGGGTCATAATGCTTACAGCCAGCTGGGCAATGGGACAACTAATCACGGTTTAGTGCCCTGTCACATCTCTACTAATTTGTCCAACAAACAAGTCATCGAAGTTGCCTGCGGGTCTTACCATTCTTTGGTGCTAACATCTGATGGAGAGGTGAGAACAGTGGGTGTAAAACTCACTGCCTTTTTTTCGGTAAGATTCTGTAGATTCCTTTAGCAGTCCTGGCAATAGGATCATTTCATTAAAATAACCACCTCCCTCAAATTCAGCCTGATTTTTGGTAATAATTCAGAGTACTGATATTTGTGTTATGGAGTTTGCCTGTATGTAGTAAGCACTTAATATATAACTGCAAAACTCAAAAGGATGTATTGACTTTTTTTTAAATAAAATTATTGCCTTATTCTTAACACATTTAATTATCTACAGATATAAAGCTAGAGTCATATTCCAACATACCCTGAGAAGGAAGTAATTGTAGTGTCTAACATTGGGGGAAACAGCTTACATACCACAAAAATTATAAAATTTAGCTACTTTGTGTCAACCATCCAGGTTCTGAGAACTATATAGGGGAATGGATTCTGAAGGTGCTAGACCAAGAATGTATTGACTTTCTAAATTGCCATAGTGAAGAGGTTGTTTGCAATAAGAAACCCCCCCCCAATGGTAGAAAATACGGCTGAGGCGAAGTAGATATTTTTGTGTTACATGATGTGCGAGAGTAACCATCACTGTTTGTGTAGACAGCACCAATAACCTAATTTGGTAAAATAGTACTTTGTGTAAGAATGGATTTTATAAAAACTCTCTGCCTGCGTGGTGAGGATTTCTGCACGTGCAGCTCGGCGAGAGGAAAGACAAGGTGCCGCTCGTGCACCTTGGTGTCCAGTCCAGACACTTTTATACGTCAATGCATTTCATTTATTGACCTTCTCTTTCAAACAGGTGTTTGCCTGGGGCTACAATAACTCTGGGCAGGTGGGATCCGGCTCCACCGCTAATCAGCCCATCCCCCGGCGCGTCACGGGCTGCCTGCAGACTAAAGCGGTGGTGAACATAGCGTGCGGGCAGATGTGCTCCATGGCCGTGGTGGACACCGGCGAGGTGGGTATGGCGCGTCTCTCGCAGCAGAGGACCCGGTGAGGCCGTCCGTCTCTCCTGAGCCCCGCGTGTCTCCTTGCCTCGCAGGTGTACGTCTGGGGTTACAACGGGAACGGGCAGCTCGGCCTGGGCAGCAGTGGCAACCAGCCCACGCCCTGCAGGATCGCCGCGCTGCAGGGCATCCGCGTCCAGCGGGTACGTCCACTGGCGGTCTGTGTGCGCGCGTCGTTTGAACCCTTTGCACTCGGATGTCGAGTGTGGATAATGTCGAGTGGTTAATGAGAAAAAAGCAAGCGAGTGCAAAGGGTTAAGTCCTCAGTGGCAAAGATGCCAGTGTAGTAAAAACACAGTTTTCTTGACAGGATGCAAAGTTTCGCTGGCTTGGATGTCTTCACTGAAATAAAGGTGAAAGCTCTTTATTTCTGAATTAACTTGTAGCTGTCCATCAGGAAATCTCTGTTCCTAGGACACTCCTCCCACACGCAGCTTTTTAGAAATGTACATTGTTAGAACCTTTTCTGAAGAATCTTTGGCAATGTGTGTCAAGAGCCTTAGTGTTCATGCCCTCTGACCTATAATTCTATTCCCAGGGCATTCACCAAAGAGAACGTCTCTTATAGAATTAGTTAAGAAGATACAGGGGAAAAAAAAATATTACTAATAAAAAACAATAGGTGTAGCCTAATTTGCTAATCAAAAATTAATTATGATGACAGAAATGATGTTTACAAGGGATTGTTAATGATGTGGGACAGTGCTGTATGTAATGGTAAAGTATTATAAAAAGAAACAAGATACAGAGCTGCTTATATAATATGGTCATTTATAAAAAGCTATAGGTATGTTTCTCTGTGTCTATATATAAATAGAAAAAACGCTGATCCTGAAAGTACTTTCATATCTATACTTTACTATCTTTTTCACATTGAACATTTTTTGCTTTTATAGTCAGAAAAAAGAAACTATTTATTAAAAAATTAAAGTGTCTGTTTCTTACATTCACCTCCGACCCCTTGATTTCCGGGAAGCAGTAAAGCTGGAATGAAGTGGAGTTGAGACAGCTAAGGGACTCACGGCAGTCTTCCTGCCGTTCTGGAAGGAGATGGGTTAACTTAATGCTCGCCTCTGTGGGCAGGCCACCTCTTCCTTTTTTTCATTTTTGATTTTTAACCTACTTTGTGAAAGTGGTGAACCACTTCCTCCTATTTGCAGGCCTGAGTCAGTTTGGTCTCTTTCCTTCCAGGTTGCCTGTGGCTATGCGCACACGTTAGTGTTAACAGATGAAGGCCAAGTGTATGCTTGGGGTGCCAATTCCTATGGCCAGTTGGGCACTGGCAATAAAAGCAACCAGTCCTACCCGACCCCTGTCGTTGTGGAAAAGGACAGGTAACATGTGCATCTTCACACTCCCCACCGTGGTCTTCAGTGATTAATCAGGACTCAGACGTGGTAGAGAATTTCTGATAGCATGAGAATATTCTTTAACAGGAGTATTTTATTCCTTTTTAAAGTTGGCTTTTGAATTGTTGGGGAGGTTGATTGTGTGCTAAACACTCTATTTGCACTTATCCATGTTGCATCTTTACCTCCAACATTCTCCTCTAAGCAAACTGCAATGACAAAACTTCCAACAGTTATTCTACATTATTCTTCTCCCTCACAGACCACCCTCTCCCCCTCCTCATTTTCTGTCTTACATTCTTAAGCGGTGTTGATAACACTTCAGGTCTATCATCTATGGCTTGGGAAAAATGAAGGTACCTTGAATGGGGTATAAAGCCAGTCACTCAGTTACTTAGAAACTCTGTCAGTTGAAAAGACGGGGCTTATTTTATCACCTTAACTCCCAAGCATGAGGAAGAGGAAAATGGTTAGAAAATTAAGACTTAGTTTTGGGCACTTGTTTGCAAGGTTGAGTTATGCAATTAGCACATTCAGAACTAGTTTCCAAATTATCCTAGCAGTTTTGAAGGCCTTTTGAATTTCTCAAGCGTGGCCCGTTTGTTGCCTTTTCACCATTTGTTTCTCAACACAGTAGTATGAAGTAGAAACGTTTCATTGTCTTTTCTTTTAAACCAGGGTTGCAATCACTGTAGAAATTAATGCTACTATTTTTATTGCATATATCAATTTTATTATATTTCATTTTAAAATAGATATATGGATAAATAGATTAGCTTGTATTTATATGCAATTATATTCTATTCTTCTATTGGAGTACTTGACAATGAAAGCCAAGGACCAACTTGTTTGTTCTACCACCTCCATTTTCAATTGAGTATCGTGAACTTGGCTAATGTTTTTTAACCTATGTTGAATAGGTTTGCACATCTTGTAAAGGTAGTTCAGAGTTTCTCAGCAAGAAGAGAAGGGACAGTCTTGAGGCTTTGAATAATCACAGAAATGCCTCAGACTAGCAAATCCAGTTAGTGGGGATGCTTAGTATTTAGACCAGGGGTCCTCAAACTTTTCAAACAGGGGGCCAGTTCACTGTCGCTCAGACTGTTGGAGAGTGCACACTGTGGGCCCGGGACGAGTTGGCTGCTTAGCAGGACAGGCAACAGTGGTAAAAAATACCCAGAGGGCCAGATAAATGTGCTAGGCAGCCCACATGTGGCCCACGGGCCATAGTTTGAGGACGCCTGATTTAGACTGAACAACAGAGTGTTAAATGATCAAATCAAAGTCGCATCGAAATAAAAGCGGGATTGTATACTATTTTCTGATAGATGAAGGCCAAGTATGTGCTTACATAACCCATCTGTCCTCATTGCCCACCAGTGTGTGCTTCCCATTGCACTGTTGGTCCCTGACCCGGAAGGACCCCCCCCCCCCAGGTCTCCTGACTCTGGTTCATGCAGGGCAGATGGGTTGCGGGGCACTGAGGTAGGAGAAAGCAAAAGCAGAGAAGCAGGGAATGGAAGTGACGTGAGTGCCAAGTTGCTTAACTGCACTTTGAAAGTTGTCTATTGCTTTTCTATCATTTTAAACTGCAATTATTTTGCAATTATAAATGTAAAGAAAAGTGGAAACAGCCATGCACTTGCACACTTGCTGTTGTCCACATAAACATGACCTTGGCTGTAAAATCATGGTTGAGTGTTGGAAACAAGATATTCCTGATTTTCCCAGCATTCCACGCTTGAATTTCAGGTGGAAATTTTGGAGCTTGCACAATGTCAGCCAGGCACTCAATCACAGGCTTAACTGTAAGGGAGGAATATTTATGAGTCCCTGCTGGGACTTGTCCTGCACTTCTCCACCCTTTCCAGTGACTGAAACCTCGAGGATATGTCATGGCTTACCTCTCAGGAAAGCTCACTTCTGACTCTTTTTAGCCCATTATGGGGAAGCTTGACGAATTAGGAGCAGGATGAGATTTAGGGCAGGGTGGGTCTTTAGTTCTTAGTTACCTGTGCACAGAAGTGGAAACGAAAAAACTCTGTGTACACTGGATTCTTTGCTTGAACAACCACCCCAGGGAAACCTTTTAAAATGTTTTCCAGAGAAGTCTATTTATGATGAAGAATACTAATATTTGTCAGCAATTTATGTTTACATAAAAGTAATTTTAACAATTAAAATGATCGTCTTCTCTCTGACTCAGTCATTCCCAATCTTTCTGAAGCTTCACGACCTTGGTATTTGATTGACCAGCATTTGTGTCTTTGTTCTTGAAGTTCCATCAGAGCATATTTCAAGTTAAACTGATGTAAACCTAACTTGGCCTTGAATTTTTGAGAACTCTGCAGCTTCTTGAGGTAACTGGAGCCAGGATTGGGAATCACTGCTGTGGATCCTTTGATCACGGCTGTTTCTTCTGCATTATTCTTCCCCCTCACAAGTGACCTTGGCCCTGCTCGTTGTTTTCTGTTTTCTGTTCCTTCTCATTCTCTGCTTTTTCATTTCTAGTACTTCACAGCCATTAAGCTCTCCGGTTGTTGCAGATCATTCTGTTGAGGTGACACAAAACCTGTTTATTAACAGCATGTAGTAATTTTTTTTTCCCATTAAGATTGGCTACAAAATAAAGTGTGCAATACGCCAGACACCCCGACAGTAAAGGTTGGCTCAGATTATAGTCATTGTCGGTTGCATGTAAGACAGGAAAATCTGAGCATCAGAATTTGCTTCTTGGTATGGATCTGATGTAAAAAGCAGTGACCTTAGGCAAAGGCGAGGTTCCTTGGCAGTTGCTTGGGTCCCAAGCCTAGACCTGAAGGTTCCCTCTAAACTGTCTCCACTCTCCTTCCTGTAGCAGCTGCTGCGGTCAGCCACGCCTGCGCCCCACCCCTGACTTCCTGTGCGGAGCCAGGTGTGCCAGGTAAACGTCACGAGGCCGTGCCCGGGGACGGCCGGCGGCAGTGTGGCCCTCCCCACCCTCACCCCTTGGCCCAGCCCGTCCCAGCCCCGCTCCGGGAAGCAGCGTTCCCACCTCGGGTCACCAGCTGCGGTCGTGGCAAAGGCCGTTCCCGTTCCATGGAGGCTGACAGCAAACATTTCAGGAGGGAATGTAGGGATGGAGTCATTTTGGTTTTCTGATGTCGGGTAGCTTCACAAAGAAGGATGCTATTGTGTTCTAATCAGTGACATTTTCCATAGAATTTTATCCCAAAGTGTACAGAAACTATTCAAAAAAAAATTTTTAAAGTCCTTGCTTAGCTCGTTGCAGAAGTGCTGAAATCTAGAGAGAGCAAGAACAGTTAATTGCTGTTTCCCTGCACATTGTTGGGCTGTTTAACCTCTCCTGCCCTCGGAGAAGGCCAGGTGCTGTACCACTGAGGTGGTTAAAATGTAGCAGCCCGCCAGCAGGCCTCAGACGGGCCTCTGGTCTGCCAGGGCCCAGAGCTGCTCCCACCTCCCTCAGCACTGCCAGGCTGGTGTCTCCTTGGACGCACCCTCTGGGGCCACCTTTGACTCCTCTCCTCCCTCTGCATTTATATCTGCGTCACCCTGACCCCTCCTTGGTGGCACGGCTCGGGTGGGACGTCGCCACACCCGTGGGCCTCCCCAGTCAGCCTTCTGGGCTGTTCTTTCTCTCCCTCGCAGTTCTGCCCTGCACACTGCTGCCAGATCAGTCTTTCTGAGAACGCCATTTTCGTTATCTCACGGCCCTGTTGACAAAGCTGTTTCCCATTTATTTGCCCGTCACGTCAGATCCCATCTGAACTCCTCAGCCTTGGATCTGAGCTGACATCACTGTTCCTAGCAACCCTTGCTGTGCTCTGCCCCTGCGGGGTGCCCGCGGGTCCCAGCTCTCCTCAGCCTTGCTGTCCCCACCCCCTGCTGCATGTCTGGTCTCGCTTTCTCTCCACCACATGGGCTGTGATTCCATTTGTGACAAATCCAAAGCCTACGTGGCCCGGTGAGCTCCCTTTTACTTTAAATCCTGCCCGAGGTTGTCCCAGCCCACACCGTGATGTTACGTGGGAATTGTCTCCGTGTCTCTTCAGCCGGGTCATGAGCTCCTTGGGGCAGGCCCTACTGTCTGCAGCAGCTGTTGAACATTTGTAGCCACAGAACCAGTTTTGAGTGCCCGATGCCTTATGTCAGTCACCCTAAAGCACAGAACTGTGAGACGATTGCTACTTTGTATCCTGTCCACCCCCTGCCTTTTTTTTTTTTCCTTTAAAAAGATGGTAAAGCTGATTATAAGAATTTAAGTTAATGTGGCCTCCACAAACTCCGGTCTGCCTCCGAGCCCACATCCGCCCAGTGGCGAGGCCACCTAACGCCTAACGCCGTGCCGCTGCCCTCACGCGTGAGCGAGACACGTGAGGCTTGCCAGTCACACAGATGGGAACAGGAGATGTACTTTTCTTTCAATAAATGCATGTGTTCTATTTCCCTCTCCCATTTTCTGTATTTTTTGGGAAGAATGTGCTTCTGGAGAAGCCCAATAGCATGGGCCATTTCCCCACCTGGCAAGGCTTCCTTGCGCAGCGCTGGAGTAGAGGTTGGAGCCAGGGGACTGGCCTGACCATGCAAAGTCCCTAGCAGGAAGGGACTCTGCTAGAGAAGAAGAGTCTACAGCTACTCATCTGAAGGATCATCAGAAATACAGAGTCTCTGCCTAAGGGAGGCTTTGCCACTCAAGATACAGAGTAGCAGTAGGGTTAAGAAACCTCTGTTGGGATGCGACCAGTTATACACAGACATTGTGCTTGGCGCTTAGCATTTTATCATTTAATTCTCACACCAGCCCTGCAGTGTGAGGAAGTGGAGGTCCTAGAGGCTGGGCGACAGGCCCGTAGCGATAGGCCTCGTGGTGGAGCTGGGATTCAAACCTGGGTCTCTTTGACTGCAAAGGCCGGGCGCCCCACTGTGGCTCATCAGTGGGTTCTTAACCCAGCTCTCAGTGGCTCTGTGTGGCTCACCTTCCCCAGTAGGGCCATGAAATGACCTACAAACTGTATTTAGTAAGACACGGTGTTAAACATGCTTAGAGAGAGAGACATACGCCAGCGATTCGGCTGGCCAGGAGCTTGTCATCTCGCTGAACAGAGGAAACTTACACATGTGAAATGCCAACGGGGCCAGGCTGGAGTGGTGTGGACAGGAAGTGGCCACAAGAGCGCAGGCAGGCGAGAGACCTCTGAACCTCAGGGCTGTCAGAACCTCAGGGGCCTGACACGAAGGGTAGGGTTTGTGAGGCAGAGAGAAGGAGGGAACATTCCTGAACAAGGACTGTAACTGTGAATAAAATAAAGACATTGAGGGGCAGTGAGTACCTCTTGTTTGTTGGAACATGAGGTGTGTGGACAAAGGTGACTTAAGGCTGGACAGAGGTGGAAACCAAGTCCTGGAAGGCCTGGATGTCTTGTGTCCGGACTTAACCTTACGGAAGTCCATGCAGGTTGGAAAGTACGGATGAGAACAGTGTCTCAGGAGCCTCTGCCCCACCGTGTGACGTGGGGTAGAAGAGGGAGAGTCTGAGGAGAGGCGAGGGAGACCTGGGCGGGCAGCTGTGACAGGGTCCAGACACAGGGTGTGCCAGACCCACACTGGTGGCCGAGGAGAGACATTGCAAAGAAAGAATCCATGTTATTTGTTAAGTGGATGTTCTGAAGAAAGTGGTGAGGAGGTAGAAGTCAAAGGTGACTCTGAAGTTTAGAGCCTGAGTCTCTGGGGATGCTGGCACCCCTGCCTGTGGGGGCAAAAAATCAAGATGAGGGGCTCCCTTGGGGTGGGAGAAAGAGTTTACTATCCTCTTTGAATCTGTATGGTGGCTTATTCTTATAGAAAAGTATTATAATTATTTCCAGATCAACAAAACAATATTTTCCATGAGGAAGTGTTCTGAGAACTACCTCCCGTCAATCATGAACTTACTGCAGTAGGGTCTATCATGTGGTGATCTAGAAAACTCCTCCCTCAGGCTCCAGATGGTGTAGTTCAGTGGGGGAGAAATACTGAGTTCACTCTTGGCAGTATGAGCTGGCATGACCCACAGCATGCTGAAATAGAGGATGTTTTCATGAAAATATTTATTTATTGACCCTAAGTCCAGATGGCCCAAATCTTTATTATTTTCTTCAATAAGTAATGTTATAAGAACATAATTCAATCACTTTTTTTTTTTTTTGGCCTCCACTCTTGGATTATACTTGAATTTCAAAACAGGATGGTGCATATTTTTATAAGCCTACTGGCTAGAAGTTCTAACAGACAGATCGTCGTGAGTTACAAGTGCCACTGAAGTGTGGCTTAAGTCTGAATAACTGTTTGGTGCCTGAAGATTTAGGAGATGAGGTGTGTGAGTCTTGCGTGGTTGTTTGCTCTTCTCGGGCCTGCCCCCTTCTGTAAATCAAGTTTGCCGTGCCCCAAATCAGTTAAAGGTAGGGGAAGGAAAAAGCAACTTGTTTCTTCTCCTGTTCACTGTGTTGATGGGGCATGTGTTTGTGAATTTAGGATCATAGAGATCGCAGCCTGTCACTCTGCCCACACGTCCGCCGCCAAGACCCAGGGAGGGCACGTGTACATGTGGGGCCAGTGCCGGGGCCAGTCGGTGCTCCTCCCCCATCTCACCCACTTCTCCTGCACCGACGACGTGTTCGCCTGCTTCGCCACTCCCGCCGTCACGTGGCGCCTCCTGTCCGTGGGTGAGCTGGTCATCTGGGGGCCGGTCCATGGGGGGGGCGTTGGCCTGTGGACCAGGAACAGGACTCAGGGCTTTTATCTGCATAGTGAGGACTTTGCCAGGCGAAGAATCATCATTTCCTTCTCTCTCATGGGCTCTTGAGAAAGGGGACTCATTTGATTAATTTTCTTAAAAGCATCAGAGACCAGCACCAATCCTAAATTAAAAGCAATTTTATTCGACTGCTTTTTCATTTACTGGGAAACTCTTTCATTTTTAGTTAGTGTATTCACTCAAACACTCTAAAATTTCATTTAAAATTAGTGAGGTGATTTGGAACTTGTTGCTGCTGTTTTGCCGGATTCATAAGCAGATGCGTGTGAGGTTCTCATCCTTAATGATTACAGAGATTGCAGATCTTAGGGAGAAAAGCGTCGCTCACTGGGGCAGTTATCTCGGGGGACTGGAATTTTCATGGGTGTTAGTAGAGCAGTGCTGTGTCATGGCCTGTGTTTTCACCGTGTCTGTAGTTTACTCTAGAAGTGTTTGTGTCACTCTCCTAGAACCCGATGACCACCTCACAGTGGCTGAGTCACTGAAGAGGGAATTTGACAACCCAGACACTGCAGACCTGACATTTCTGGTGGATGGAAAGTACATTTATGCACATAAAGTCCTTCTCAAAATTAGGTAAGGAATCATTTATTTTGAGAACTGAGATAAATCCGTTTCTTCAACCTTTATCTTCTAAGTGTCCAAAGAGCTATACGTTAGGCGCTTCAGTAGTAATGGAAAAATGTAAGGCTGTTTTTGCCCTTATGAAAACACAGGGCAGCCAGGGAAACAAGAAATAACAGGTCGTGTGCGACGAGTGCTGGGGGAATCAGTACTGCGGGTGTTCCTGACAGGCTGAAAACAGTCTGTTGTCCACCTTGGCACTGGGCAGCAGCCAGCTAAAGCCAGGTACGTGTGCTCTTTCTGTGCTTTGAACATCATGCTGAGTACTTGGACATCATCAGTCAACTTCCCTGCCTGGGAACTGAGCTCGGCTCATAGTAACCACCCTCCTTAACCACTGGTGGGATACTGAACACTTCGATGCTTTAGAAAAGAGAGGATCAAGACTTTTCCAGACCAACAAGGTCTGGGGCGAAGCTAACACAAAGATTTTTAAAAATCAGATTTGTTGATGTGTATGAGCAATGAGCTACACCCATGTCAAGTGTGCCGCTGATGAGCACTGACATACGTATGTGCCTCTGCTCCACATGGAGACCCAGGACCTTCCCATCACCCCTCCCCCAGCCCCAAAGGCCTCTCATGCCCCGGCCCCGGGCAACCAACGATCTTTCGGTCACTGTAGATTAGTTAGTGTTTTCTAGAAGTTTACATAAATGGAATGGTGCAGGATGCATTCTTTTGTTCCTGGCTTCTTTCTCTGAGCAAATGATTTTGAAATTTGTTATGTTGCTGTATAACAGACGTTTAAATCCTGTTTTAATGAATCACAAACTCAATACACATTTTAGACTCAAGTTCCCCTTTAGTAAGGTCAAGCTGTGCTATTTGTTTACTCTCACCATAGCACATTAGCCTCCATAGAGAAAGGGGTTGGATGACTTTGTTGTAAGTAAAGTCTACAAACTGGTGACTTAAACAGAAGTTTATTCCTTCACAGCACGCCTCTCTCTTAGCTAGTAGTCTGCTGAGAGTCTCTGGCATTCCTTGGTGTGTGGCAGTCTAACTCCAGTCATCGTATGGCTTCTCCCTGTGTGTGTGCCTGTGTCCACAATTCCCCTTTTTACAAGGACATCCGTTGTATTATATCAGGGACTACTATCCCAGTGACTTCATTTTAACTTGATTACCTTCACTAAGACTCTGTCTCCCAATAAGGTCACATTCTGAGGCGCCGGGGGTTATAACTTTAACATATGAATTTTTAAAGGACATAAATCAACCCATCACAGAGTGAAGAAACAAAATGACTCAGATCTTATAAAAATAAGCCCACTGATTTTTCTAAATGCCGATCAGCGCATGTGGTCTGAGCGAGATGCCAGGGAACCCGGGGCACTGTCCCCACCAGCGTGGCCCTACAGGCAGCTGCCTGGGCCACCCACAGCCGCGGGTGTGCAGTGCAGCCTTGGGGAATAAATGATTATCTGGAAACCTCAGGCCAGCAAAGAAGCAGGGAGCCAAGGAAGGACGTGCAGGAGCGCGCCTTCAAGAGAAGGACATGCCCCTCAGGGAGGGGAGGCTGTCTGCTCTCGAAGGAAACTGGGACCTGACGCACTTCTTTCTTCCTTCAGATGCGAGCATTTTCGTTCTTCGCTGGAAGACAATGAGGGCAATGTTGTAGAAATGAGCGAATTTTCATACCCCGTTTACCGAGCCTTCCTGGAATACCTGTACACAGACAGCATCAGCCTCTCTCCTGAGGAGGCAGTAGGTAATTGCCAAAGAATTTCCCGAGAAACTGGCCAAACGTTGAGTAACTGACAAGGTGGTTCTGTAGCACCTGGTAGCAAGTGGCTGTCAGGGCAGTCACAGAAGTGGCTCCTTTTGTGTGTGTTGAACCCAAACGCTCTTCCCTTGTTACTACTTCATACAAAGGGCGACTGGGTAGTAAAGTAAGAGAGAGATGAAGTATCAAAGCATGGCCACTGTGGAGCGTTCGGGGCAGCAGCACGGAGGACGGGATGGAGATGGGCACACGGCCAATCCCAGTGTCTCCAAAGGGAGCGTCCCGGAAGTTCCCTAATTTCCACCCGTGGACCGGAGTTAATCGAGGCTGTGCCCAGCTGCGGAGTCTGGGAGGACACACGTTTCCAGATGGCCTTGCCTTGGCTAAAGATCCTGTGGTTTTGGGAAAGAGGAAGAATGGATTTGTGCTTCTGTGTGTGTGTGTTGGAGTGGACAGAGGCAGCTAGCAGCTTCCACCATGAGACTGATGTGATTCTTTTTTTTAAAGATCAGTCATTTAATGGTTCAGGTGAGAGATGATGCTGTCCTGGGGCAGGCGTGGTGTAGCTGTGTAGCAGGTAGGCATGGTGTAGCAGTGGAGGCATTGGAAGTAGATGAGATCCTGGATATATTTTGAAGCTGGAGCTGATGGCATTTGTTGAAGGGTGGGACGGAAGGGGTGAGGAGTGAGGGGACAGCTTCCCTGAGGTGTCTGGCCTGAGCAGCTGGGTTTGTGACAGTGCCATGCTCTCAGGTGAGGAAGGTAGAGAGCCACAGGTTTTGCTCTTGACTTTGAAAAGTCCAAGGCAGGGGTCCTCAAACTTTTTAAACAGGGGGCCAGTTCACTGTCCCTCACACCTTTGGAGGGCTGGACTATAGTTTAAAAAAAAAACTATGAACAAATTCCTATGCACACTGCACATATCTTATTTTGAAGTAAGAAAACAAATGGGTAAAAACACTCGCGTGTGGCCCTCGGGCCGTAGTTTGAGGACGCCTGGTCCAAGGAGTTTGAGCCACCAATTTATATAGGCCTTCTTGTAACATTTGCAGAGGCCTGTTGAGAGTCCAAAGGGAAGCCTATTGTACATATGCCTAAAACTTTGAAGTTAATGTCAGGCTAACAGACTTCAGATAAAGCATGTTCAATCCTCCAACCTTGAAAAATGTACTTCGAACCTGAAAGGCCAGGTTTGTGTTTTAGTTGGAATTTAGAGTTTCAGGACTCCTTGGAGTTCTGTGCTAGAACCCAGTGGGCACAGGAAGGACAGACCCCTGGCCTCCAGCTTGTGGCCACACACTCGAGGGTGTGCGGGCACGCCAGCCTGCATCCACCACCCCCCCGGGCTACCCTTTGGGGCCAGGGGTCCAACACATTGGTGGTGTGGCCTGTCAGAGGGAGGAAATGCACACGTGCCCTCAGGGCCAATTAGACACTGAACCCCAGGTACCCAAGGTGTGATCTAGAAGGAGACGCGTGGCTCCTCGGCTGCCCTGTGATGAGGGTGTGCCTGGAGGAAGCAGGGTCCCCTCTTAGGGCAGCCCTGCATCTGTGAGCCTGAAGCTCTGCAGTGTTTGGGGCTGTTGAGAACAATTAAGCCATCCACAACTCTCAAGATCTCAGTATGCTTCAATGGGCCATAAGTCTTTCTGCCATAACTTTGATAGCATTTCTGATATTATAATGAAAACAAGTTTCTAATCAAATTCTGCTACATGTGCAAAATTTATTAGCAGACAGACACAGAAACAATTAATATGGTAGGATGGATGAAATCCCATCTCCCTGTCCTTCAGGCACGCTATTGCAAGTGCCTTCATGACAGTTTAGCTTGAGGTGAATGTCAGAATATTCTAGTAGCAGGATTCAGCTTAACCCTCTGATCAGATGGCACCTGGGGACTGCATGCAAACGGAGCATGCATACTGCTGCCGACAGTGTAGACCTACCGAGCTCCTGCCGGGGCACCATTCTTGCAAGGACAGAGGACTCAGTATTCCCGGCCAAGCCACACATCCTCAATACCACTGTTTTACCAGTGACAAACTATTTCTGACATTCTTTATGCTAATCAGCAAGTCTCTAAGGAAGAGTCAAATACCAATATCTGAAAACAAGTAGGACCTTCCAAATGCTGATTGACCACTGCTGTTAGAATGCTGCCCATCCTCCCTTGGGGTAGAATTAAATTACTTGCATATGTGTGTCCCTGGCTACGGGAATTACTTGCAAGTGGACGCAGGTGCTGTAACAGGACTCATCAGCCTATATAGATGGTGCTTAAAACCCAAAACCCTCAGGCTGGAGTGAGCTTAGGGAAGTCAGTGGAATCAGCATCTGAGGGGTGCTGGAAGGGAGGTTTGGAAGTCAGGAGAAACCATCCAGCCCAGAGAACTGAGGAGTAGCTGATTAAGGAGAAGAAAACTGCATGCAAGTAGCAAAATGTTCCAGGGAGAGCATGGTCAACGAAACCAGGGAATAGACCTTGGATTTGGCCCCACGGAAGCCATTCCGTGACGACCACAGGTGCAGCGTTATGAGCAGTGGGGACGGGGTTCTGCCAGGACTGGCTTGAGGTCAGGATGGGAGGCGAGAAACGGAGACAGAGACAGCAGATACAGGGGGCTCTCTCTAGGAGTTCCGCCATAGAGAGGAGCAGAGAAATGGTTTTGGGGTGACAGGAGGCAGATGCGTGTCCAGGAAAGGTTTTTCTTTTCTTTTCAAGATGGGCATCATCGTTGGCAGCATGAGTGTCTGTTCCCGGAAACGACCCAGGAAAGGTGTTGAGAATGCAGCAGGAGGGGCGATTAGAGGAGCACACTCCTTTTCTTTTTTTCCTTGGGAAAAAAACGTCAAAGCCATTCTCTCAGGGCGGTGCAGTGGCTCTCCCCTGTAATCCTAGCACTCTGGGAGGTTGAGGAGGGTGGATTGTTTGAGCTCAGGAGTTCGAGACCAGCCTGAGCAAAAGCAAGACCCTGTCTCTACTGGAAAAAAAAAAAAAATAGAAAGAAATTAGCTGGACAACTAAAAATATATATAGAAAAAATTAGCCAGGCACGGTGGCGCATGCCTATAGTCCCAGATACTCAGGAGGCTGAGGCAGGAGGATCACTTGAGCCCAGGAGTTTGAGGTTGCTGTGAGCTGGGCTGACACCATGACACTCTAGCCCAGGCAACAGAGTGAGACTCTGTCTCAAAAAAAAAAAAAAAAAAATAGTCATTCTCTCTGTGCTCCTGGTTTTTGTATTTGCTCAGCTTGGCTACCTTCTTGAGTAGAGCCGCACATGAAAATGCGAGTCAGCAGAAGTCTTCACTTACTTGGTGCTTCACTGAGGATTATATTTAAAATGATATCCAAATCATCTCTGAATGGCTGAGTGAGTTTAAATCAGGATTCTTGAAACCACTTCCTCTAATAAACACCTCTTTCCACCAGGGTTGCTGGACTTGGCTACGTTTTATAGAGAAAATCGTTTGAAAAAGCTCTGCCAACAAACTATCAAACAGGGAATCTGTGAGGAGAATGCGATCGCTCTGCTCTCCGCCGCTGTGAAATACGACGCCCAGGTAAGAGAAGCATTCTTCCAGCTGGCCAGCCTTCTGGAAGAAATGAAGTTAGGAGCCTGCCTCATGTCTCAAACTAAAATAAACCCTAGGTAGCTTAAAGATTTAATCTAAAAAAAATAAAGTAACAAAAGTACTAGATGAAATATCAGTAAATATTTATATAATGCTGAGGTGGATATCACAGGCAGACACCATGAAGGAAAGGATTGACAGATCTGTTTTCAAAAGATAAACCTTTTATACATTAAAAAATGCCTCAGGGAGAACTAGAAAGTAACGATACACTGGGAAAATATTTACAATGTATAATGAAGCAAGTTTACCATAGTGAAAAACAAAAAGAAAATTATGAGCAGTTTGGTTGGAAAAAAAATGGATCAAAGAACAAATAACTCTATGAAGAGATGAAAAACATAAATGAGAAATATAAATGAAAACGAGGTATGATATTCACCTATCAACCTGGGAAATATGTTTTTAAAAATAATGTAGGCTTAGAAAAATGGTGTTTTCCTAAACTGATGAGGGTGCAAGTTGGGACAGACATTCTGGGGGCAGCTGGTATCATATGTATTAAAAGCCTTAAAGATGTGATTCCTTAAGGAATTCACTTAGGAATTTATCTCAGGTAGTCATGGATTTGGACAAAGATTTAGCTTCAGAGATGTTTACTGTGCCAGTTTATAATTTTGAAAGATTAGCAAAAGGTCAGTATGAACAGTGGAGGATTATTTATAAAATGTTAATACTATGAAGTTATGCAGCTGTTTGAGGTGTATCACTAAGGGAGGAACTATGATCCTGTTCTTTTTTAAAAAAAAAATGTATAAATGGCTGAATAAGACTGAAATTCATCAACATAGAAAAAAAGGACTGAAGAATATAGTAAGTGGTTATCATGGGATGGTGGGGTATGGAGGATTTTTATTTCCTTCTCTTTGCTTGTTTTTTCCGAAACTTTTTTTTTAGTGACCAGGCATTGTTATGATAATAAAGAAAGGAAAGAAAACTCATCCTAGAACTCAATCTTTAGGAAACAGGCCTTAACTTCTTAGAGTTGATTTCCTTTTAGCATAAGGATATCCTCTCCTTTGGTCAAAAAACAGGGACATTTTAGTGGGGAAAAGGGTACAACTTTTTTTCCTGCTTATGCAAATAATAGTTTGTTTATTAAAGAAAATTTGGAAGGTACAAAAAGTGTGAGGAAGGAAATGACTTATCAACCAGAACGTTAGCACTTTGCTTTAGCCGCTTCTAACTTTTCTTCAAAGTCACATTATGTATTTATCTCTAAATACTTGAAATCCAGACTTTTTTTTCCACTTAAAAAGAAAATTTTACCCACTTTGAAACATTGATATTTAAAAAGCACAGTGAATGTTTGTCTTATGTCATGGTAATAATGCTATATATTAGGCACTGGAGAAATGCTTCATGGCCAAACAAAATCTGTGTGCTGTCCTGTAGTTTGTGGTTCAGAGTCGTGGTGATGACACTGGACTCTGGGGGGCCAGTTCAGAGGTCCAGGTGGTGGCACATGGTGTTTGCAACCAAACTAGGGTTGCGTTCTCAGACTTTTTCATATTCCCTATTTATGTAAATTATTTGTATGGTCACCTTCCAGCTCTCTTGTTTTCTAGAAAGTAAGCTCCCTGAGGGTTGGCAGGGACTTTGCCCAGCTCACAGCCATATCCCCATGCCTAGGATTGTTTCTGACACAGAGTAGGTACTTAGTAAGTATTTGTGTGATGAGTGTTCAACTTTGCCTATGGAGACACACCACTACACTACGACCTGTCCAGCTAATTGTACCGTAAGTGAATAGAATAGATTACAAGTAAAATAGGCTATATGTGTACTTAATATAAAATAAAAGCTTTTATAAATAAAGAATGGCATATTTAATTTGGGTGACTCAAATAAATAAGAAATGGGCTTTTCCAACAAATTATCCCTCATGCTAGACTACCCCTTGGTTCATAATTACTAGGAGCCAGGGAGTATGCTAAGCACAGTTCATGTCTCATTTACTTCTCAGAACAACCCGATAAGACACAGGCATTATTGTTATTATAAGTTCCAATTTACAAATGAGGAAACTGAAGCTCAGATTAAGTAATCTCAGTAAACGAGTACATTGCAAAACCGGAAAGGCAATTCAAGATTGGACAAAGTTCACAACCACATATTTAACTACAGTTCTCTATTGTCACCTGTATTTTAAAATCCAAAGAGTTTAGTTACTGATTCAGCAAATTGTCACTGAGTGCCTATTTTTTGCCCACACCGTTCCAGATACCAGGGTAACTGCAAGTGAACAAAATGGAGCAAAGTCTCCGCCCTTGTGGAACTCTCTGGTGAGGGGAGATGGGCAAGAAGTAAATGAATACACCATAGAGCTTGTCAGATGGTGATGGTGATGGTGACATGGAAAACTAAGCTCAAGAGGAGCTTAGAGGGAGTACCAGGCTGAGATTAAAGTTGGAATTTTAAATAGACTGTCAGGGAAGGAAGGCGTCACAGGGAAGGTGACTTGAGCAAAGCCTCTGGGAGGTGTGGGTGGCGTGTTGGAGGAACAGCAGGACGGGTGTGGGGGAGCAGAGTGAGGAGAGGAGCAGAGGAAGGCAGGGAGATGGTGCGGGGCAGGGGGCCCAGGCTGGCAGAGGCCTCTGCGCAGGCTTTGGGACTGAGCTTTGACTTGAGCGAGCGAGGAGGGTTGGCAGTGGAGCACGCGTGGTCTGCCCTGCACGTGCAGGTGACGCTCTGGCTGCTGTGTTGAGAGTCCTGTGTGGGGACACAGAGGGTGTGGTTAGTTAGGAGGCGGTGTAATCCGGTAAGTGGCGATGGCAGATTGGTCCAAGTTGTTAGCTGTGGTTGGGTTTGGAATGTGTTTTGAAAGTTGAGGCAGTGGGATTTGCTGGTGGATCACGTGGGGAGAGGGGAAATAAAAAAAGACTTGGGATGACTCCAAGGGTTTGGTATCAGCAACTGAAAGGATGAAATTGGCCTTTACTGAGATAGAGAAGAGTGGGAGGAGCAGTGTTTTTGGGGAAATATCAGGAATTTGGGTTGATTATGTAAGCGTGTGATGTCTATTAAACATCCAAATGAAAATATCTAATAAGCAAATTGGATAAGCAAGTCTGGAGTTCAGGAGGAAACTCGCTGTATTTAGAGCTGTGAGACTGTGACGTGTGGCAGACGGGTTTGAGGATTAAGTTTTGGGTACTCCGTGCTCAGAGCATAAGGAGATAAGGAGACCACAAGCAGCAAGCTAAGAGAAGACAAACCAGGAGATTGTGTCCTGGCAGCTGGGAAGGAAAGTATTTCAGGAAGGAAGAATCTTCCACCACGATGGACGCTGTTGGCAGGGACTTTGCACTGCTCACAGCCATATCCCCATGCCTAGGATCGTTTCTGACCCATAGTAGGTACTTAGTAAGTATTCGTGTGATGAGTGTTCAACTTTGCCTGTAGAGACACACTACTTCACTATGGTCTGTCCAGCTCATTTTGGTACCCTAAGTGAATAGAATAGATTACAAGTAACATAGGCTGTATGTGTACTTAATATAAAGTACAGTGCCCTTCGGGCAGCGCCAGTGGCCAGTGGGTCTGGCTGTGAGACCGCCGCAGGCGATCCTGGCAGGCAGTTTCAGTAGGGGAATTGATGGTGGTGAACATGATGAAGCACGTTTGTCCAGAGATGCAGGTGATCTGGTAAGGGGAGCAAGTGACGCAGGGATAGTTCCTAGAGTCGGGTTCCTGAACAGGAGGAGCAACAGGACGTAGGTGGCAGGGCAAGGGGACCTGCCTTACACAGGGTCATGGGCCATCACCCAGAGAAGATGGCATCTACAGGCAGCTGTGCACGGAGATACTGTGGGAAGAGCGTGTGAAGGTTCCTTCCGAGTGATTCTGTTTTCTCAGTGAAATGGGAAATCACGTTAGCTTAGAATGAGGGCGAGAAAGGTGGTGTTGGACGTAAGGGAGAAAGTAGGAGAGTCCTCTAGGAGAATGGAGGAATTAGGGAAAGGTGGTTGGACCGCAGGACAGAATGGAGGGCCCTAGCCTCACAAAGCAGTAGCATTTAAAGTAGACTACAATTCTCTTACCGAAAAATGAGAGCCTTGTTTTATATAGACAAAATTCCCTTATAACCGGTACCACCCTATGCCAATTTAATGAATTCTTAGAATCGCAGGAACTCTTTCCAAGTCCTGTCTTTATTGAATAATTTATCAGAAATTCCCATTCTCCAAAAGTAAGGGAAAGTGGAATTTTTTGTTCTCCCATTCATTAGCAGTTTTACTGATGCCATCCAGATCCATGGGACTTCACACTGCTGGCCCACCTAACTCCAGACATGCTTTCATGTGTGTGGTGCAGGTCTGAATCTTTCCCTTCCTCTTTGCAGAATTCACCCAAAGAAATGCATCACAGTCTTGTTTCACTTTCATGTGCTGTAGGCAAAAATGTCATTTCTAAAAATTTAAGTAAGAGCACATAATTTTAAATGGATACTGGGATATGCAACACATAATAATGAAGTACATTTTAATGTATAGTATCATGCTAAGATATCAAGGAGGTGTGTGAATTTTCCTTTATCACTGAGGCCTTACGTGGGACCGAGATATGTCATAATGCTGGAGTGACTTTAGCAGCCTGTCCAGCTTTTCAGGGGTGAGTTAAACAGGTTTTCCTAGTGTTTATTTTCTTAAAAGGAAATGTACTATAGGTTTGTGGGTACATTGGCATGGTTATCAGTATTGCTAATTATTCAGTATATATTTTCATCTTTAGCATTTGCTATAATTTATATGTCTAAAGAGGAAAATAATAGTGTGTAATGTGCATATGTGATTGCTTGGGAATTATTTGGGGCTTTATTTTTTTATAAATTACCTTTATTGACATAGAGACAAAAGTTTAAAAATTGACAGTTCACCACCTAGCAGTGGCTTGTCCTGGGTTGATGGCATGGCCTAGGCCCTAGGGTCTGAGGCATGTCAGAGGTCTGGGCAGGCTCACCTCACTTTTCCCTGGGGGTACTGTGGTACACAGTGTTTATCTCACCCCTGAACACAGCTGGACACACTGCTAAGGTCACCCCAGCAGTATGACATATCTCAGTTCCCTGTAAGGCCTCATTGATAAAGGAAAATTCACACACCTACTCGATATCTTAGCATGTTACTATACATGAAAATGTGCTTCATTAATATATGTTGCATATCCCAGTATCCACTTAAAATTATGTGCTCTTGCTTAAATTTTTAGAAATATCATTTTTAGAAATGACATCTCACCACCTTCATTCTGATTCTCAAGTTTACAGTTCTAATCAAGACAATTTCTACAAGGCCATTCTTTGGCCCAGAGTACATTACAGTAAGCCAGAAAACACAAATCTGTTGGGTTTCTCTTACCAGACAACCTTGAAAGTCAGGATTTCTTCAAAGCATCATCCCAGTTAAGATCACTGAAGGTGTGTGTAGTGTGACGATGTCCATCCATTCCATCCTTTGTCTTCTTGCAAAGGAAAAAAAGCAGTGGCCTGTTAATAACTTAGGAGAAGCAGTTTTTAGAATTACCATTTTTATGGCTTGCCCTTTCTTCCACAGACTCTTTCCAGGCAGAAATATTTAAAGCATCCAATATAAATATAAGATGGGAGCATAGGGCTTTTAACAAATATTGAAAGTGGAATGAACAATACAAGTACTGTCACTAGATGAAAAGGTACCAAAGAATTCATACACTTAGGTGCCTATCTCTGGGAAGAAGAACATCAGATTCTTCACATTGGTCAGTGTCGAGGAACTTGTACGTTTTACCATGTTATTTACATTTTTATAAGCATGGATTCATATTATGTGGTTTTTGTAAGTACTCTTAGGAATTGCTGTATCAACATTTCCTCTTCTTGGCTATCAAATCCTTTTTACTGGTTTTAGGAATTTTCATGTTACGTTGCATTGCATTGGGAAATATCAATTTGTCAAATGATTTTTGTTGTTATTATTCCTAGGATTTAGAAGAATTCTGCTTCAGGTTTTGCATAAATCATCTGACTGTAGTAACACAAACTTCAGGCTTTGCAGAAATGGACCATGATCTCCTGAAGAACTTTATCAGCAAAGCAAGCAGAGTTGGAGCCTTTAAAAATTGATCCCACCTACAGGAAAGGAGTTTTTGAGCCTTTCCATTTCCCCTGCAAAAGCCAGAGATAAATAACTTCTCTTTAATTAATAGTATGTATGATGAGCTACATTTGGCTGAGTAGTTGTGTCTGTCAAAAGAAGGATGGTGGTGAGTCATCTTCATCTGCCTAAATCCAAAGTTACATAGAAAGTATCGAATGCACTGATCAAAAGTGACTAAGGTCAAGGAAAAAAATTATAATACCTTATTGTTAATATATTTACCATATCCTCTTTTGAGTCACTTAAGTTGGATGCCTTTGGTACACTGGTACATGCTATTCTGGCCCAAATGTTCCGTTATGCGGCTGGCTGATGTCACGTAGATAGCTTGACAAGGAATGCTGTCCCTACCACATTTTCAGCATCTAGCACAGTGCCTCGAATATGGTAGGCACTTGATTATTGTTATAATATGTACTGGGAACAGCTCTATTCGTGGAATACTGGATGAAGGAATAACTTATACAAAATAAATTTAAAACAGCCCACAATTCTTAAGGTCCATATTCTTCTGGTACACTGTTCTGAGAAACAGTGGCTAATTTAGAGCATTCATTAGAATTCACAAAAGGCCTTGGCAATTAAACTGTCAAAGGCCCAAGGGCTAATTTTAATTTATTTATTCTGAGTCATTAGTTTCTCACACGGGATTAGTGAATATGAAGTGTTATCTTTGAATGAGATTCTTGGGTTGATCTGCCTCACCTGATCACATAAGGGCCTTTGCTTTTGTGTTCAGAGGGATTTGCCTCCATAAGTAAAAATGATTGTTTCTATCATAGCTGGCTTTCATGTCACTATAAAACAGGTCTCAACCTGGCACTCGTAAAATTGTGAAGTACTAGCTGAAAAGGAACTAAATGCTTACATTTCATGGACAGCATTAACAAAAATGAGATAAATTTATACTTTTTAGATCAAAACAAGTTACCCAATTGCAAAAGAGAACGTGGAAATGGGATGTAGTATTGATTCCTCTAATATGTATCTCACAATATGATATTATGTAAAGAAAACATTTTTGGAATTAGAAATCTTGTTCCGATGCTGAACTATTTGATAATAAAGTGATCATTTATAGATAATAGAACAAATGTGTTGTTTTTTTTTAATCCCTAAGAAGCAAAATTATATCAATCTCTATATTTTATATGTACATCTATATTTTAGATGTACATAAATGTCTTTGATATATTATACTCTTGTTTTCTAGAGCAGTCAGATAAGTTCTCATAGCAAAATCCACCCTAAAACATAAATGGCTTATAAATAAACCTAATTACTATTCATATTATTGCCTCTGACTGCTCATTACTGGTGAGGTCAATTTTTTTTTTCATATTTGAAAACTTAATTTTTTTTAGAGCAGTTTTAGGTGTTCCTAGCAAGATTGAGAGGACAGTGCAGAGATTTCCCACATGCCCCCTGCCCCCACATATGCACAGCTTCCCCTGCTGTCAGCGTCCCCCACCAGAGTGGGACATTTGTTACAACTGATGAACCTCCACTGACACATCGTTATCAGCCATGGTGCATAGTTTATTAATACATAAGGGTTCACTCTTGATGTATATTTTATGGGTTTGGACAAACATATAATGTGTCCATCATCACGGTATCATATAGACTAGTTTCACTGCCCTAAACATCCTCTGTGCTCTGCGTATTCCTCCCTCCCTCCTTCCCCTCTGACTCCTGGCAGCCACTGATCTTTTTACTGTCTCCGTAGTTTTACCTTTTCCACAATGCCGTATAGTTAGAATCATACAGTATGTGGCCTTTTCAGATTGGCTTCTTTCATTTAATATCTGCATTTAAGTTTCTTCCATGTCTTTTCATGGCTTGATTGCTCTTCTTTTTCAGTGCTAAATAATATTCCACTGTCTGGGTATACCACAGTTTATGCATGCACCCACTGAAAGACATCTTAGTTGCTTCCAAGTTTTGGCAGTTGTGACTAAAGCAACTACAAACATCTGTGTATGGGGTTTTTGTGTGGACGTAAGTTTTCAAATCCTTTGGGGAAATACCAAGGAAATGTGATCACTGGATCATGTGGTAAGAGAATATTTAGTTTTATAAGAAACTGCCAAACTGTCTTCCAAAGTGGATGCATCATTTTCATTCCCACCAGCAAGGAAAGAAAGTTCTGGTTGCTCCACATCCTCATCAGCATTTGGTGTTGTCCATGTTCCAGATTTTGGCCATTCTAACAGCTGTTTAGAGGTAATCCATTGTTGTTTTAATTAATGACATAAGATGTGGAACATCTTTTCATATGCTTATTTTCTCTGTATCCTCTTTGGTGAGGTGTCTGTTCAGATCTTCAGCCTATTTTTTTTTTATTTCAGCATATTATGGGGGTACAAATGTTAAGGTTACGTATAAAGCCCTTACCCCACCTCAAGAACTTCAAGTGTGACCATCCCCCAGACGGTTTCAGCCTATTTTTTAATCAAGTTGATTTTTTATTGAGTTTTAAGAGTTCTTTGTATATTTTGGATAAACAGTGTCTTTTGCAAATGTTTTCTCCCAGTCTGTGGCTTATCTTTTCATTCTCTTACGAGGTTACTCTGTGAATGTTTAGTTTCTACTATGATTTGGATGTGGTTTGTCCCTGCCAAAACCCATGTTGAAATTTGATCCCCAGTGTGATGGTGTTGGGAGGTGATGGAGCCTATGGGAGGCATTTGGGTCACAGGGCAGATCCCTCATGAAGAGATTAATGTCTTTGGCAAGACTGGCTTACTCACCTGCGTGGGTTGTTGCTATGAAAGTGAGTTTAGCTTCCTGGGTTTCTCTCTCTTGCTTCCTCTCACCATGTGATGTCTTTGTACACACTGGTTCCGATTTCCACCATGAGTCGAAGCAGCCTGAGGCCTTCACCAGATGCAGCCTCTAGTTCTAAATCAGAATCCTATTTTTGGAACTATGTAATCTCTTCTTCATTTATTTGTATTTCAAAAGTAGCTATATACCATTTGTTTTCAATGATAGGTTTGCTATATTATCTGGCAAAGAAACATTCAGACATGGGGAGCACCTATGGCTATCAGTTCAGGCAGTTAGACAACCACCGTCTGTCTTTCCTTCATCTTTCTTCCTCACCCTCCTGTGCTAGCTGTAACTAACTAGGCTTTTATGACTTCACAGTGACTCCCAACCTTGTTTTCCTATTCCTTGTCTATTTCTGACAGAGTCTTCTGAAGCTTCTCCATTCCTTTTTCTTTTATGAACTCATTTCATACAAAAATTGAAATGTTCAAAGGGGAACAGATAAATTAGAGATGAAAAATGGACTACCCTTTACCAAACTCCAGTGGGTCAATAGGCAAACTGCCCATGTGTGAGTAATTACTCCAAACTGTGACACAGATTTTCTATCTAAGCCCCGTTATGTGTAGGCTTGCACTAGTATGTATCTCAGTGTTTCTGTGCATGGGCACAGCAGAATAATCTGTGGGACTTTTATAGACTTGGGGATTCTAATTCAATATATTTAAAAAGTTCCACAGATAATTGTGATATGCAGCCAGTGATAAGATCAGTGGTTTTGCCCTTAAAATATGTGACTCCAACCAATAAGGAAGAGCTAATTTTAGACCAGTTTGAGAGATGACAGATGAATCCTGAATGTGAATACATCTGTCTGAAAAAACAAGCTTTCTCTCTGGTCTTTGAGGATAGGCTTACCATTGACATTCCTAGAGGAAGGAAAAAGGTTTCATTTTACTTTTTTCTAACAGATGAGTGCTTGTAAAGTTTCAGAAAATCCTGCTGTTTATTAGTGATATGTGAGAAAAAAAGATACATTTTCATAATGACACGATAGCAAAAAGTAATGGATCCTCTCATTCACATAAGTTTATCTTACATTTTCTGTGGTTAAGTTTTGTTTCCTTTCTTGCTCCTGCAAGGAAGTCAATGTTTTAGTGCTTCCCATGTAATTTTACCCTCACTTAACACAGAGAAACTTTAGGGTTTTATAGGAATGAAGAAATGTCTTCATCTGTTGATAAAGTTTGGTGAAGATGCCATATAACTCTTTTTTAAAAATAAAGGTTAAGAATGTTAAATATGTTCTTCAGCTTAAAGCTACTGTAAATTGCCAGTCATTCTGGACCAGGGAGTTTTATTTAGTGGCTTTCTTAACTAGGAATAACGAAAAGAAGGAATTACAAACTATATAATGTTGTCTATCTTGTTAGCCCTTCCCCCTTCTGTTATAACAAATGAGTTGTAGAATTGTGAAGGGAAAATCATACCCCTACTGTTATTTTCAATTGTCTTCGCCAAAACACAGAAACACAAACCTTACCAATTTTCTCGTAAATTCAGTTAAAAATTGTACCATTTTCTACTTATGAAGTAACTGAAGCTGGTCTGTGTCATAAATTAAATCTTTCATATTAAATTGTCATATATGTGAATACTAATAATATGTATAGTCCCAAAATAATGGACACCAAAAAGGATTTGAGAATGAATGACTTATCCCAGCTTCAAATTAAAAATGTTTTAATTCTATATAGACATTATACAGTATCACTGTTAAACATTTATATTTAAGAGGCTATACCTGTGGTAGAAATTTAATATTTCTAGAAGTAAAGTTTGACTTGTTCTTTGGACTAAATATTAATAGATATTTCAAAGAATGCCCTGTACACTGTATCGGCCCAAAATGAGCAACAAAAATATGCTTCTAAAAGCAAGTTCCTATAAATCATCCAGATTATAATAGAACTAGTATGTAGGGTCACCACCTACATACTAGTTTGCCCAGAAACCTGTAATAAAAAGAAAATATGTGAATTTGAACTTGTCCCTTTTATTATAATGGGCATATAATCATTGGAACACTAAATTAATCTCTGTAAGTGATCAATTCTTTGTCATCTACACTAAAAATTTTTAGTGTCACTGGACTTTATTTTGACGTGACCTGAAAGACCGCCGACAGCCATGATATGACTTTTCTAATTTTTCATTTATCAAAATAAAATTATGAACATTTAAAAATACCGTAATGAAAACATATATGTATATGTTACCTATTTTGATACTTACAAGTAAAGCTGCCTGTAAAGTAAAACAAGCTTTCAGTGCTTTAAAGCTTTCCTCATCACATAAGAGCAAAATGGATTCCCTGTCAATGCCCAGCACAAACTATCGTGCGGACTGAGTGCCAGCTGTGGACAAGGTTTCATGGCCAGTGAGCATGGTCCTGAAGTGGTTAATAGTTCCTGATCAGCAGTTTGAATATAGTACTTCAAAAGCAGAGGAGCAATGTGACTCACTTTACATTTTTTAAGATCATTTTTGCTCTTTAGGGAGCTTGAATGGTAAAGAGGAAAGGGGGAGGGAACAGGGAAACACTAGTTAGAATCTTTAGCAGTGGTCCAGACAAGAGTTAAAAGATGATTCCCAAGTTTTTGGCTTGGTAAGTGTTCAGTAAAATGGGGAAAGACCAGGGTAGAAACAAGATGTTTTTGTTTGTTTGATTTTGGGTTTATATTTTGAGAAATTGGGTGGAGGGGAGTGGGAATCGAGAGTTCTGTTAGCTGTGAGAGCTTTGTCTTCTGTGAGGAGGTCAGGGCTGGAGAAGAAGTTTGGGAATCATTAGCATATATAGCTCTTTAAAGGCTAAGAATGATGAGGTACTAGGAGAAAGGACAGGAACAGAAGAGAACGTTAGTGCACTTCATACAAAGACCACATCAGACCATTAAGACTCTTAACAACTAATTTATTTTAAAATAGACAAACTATTGTAGAAAATAGTAACATAGCAATTTTAAATGTACAGTTTTAACCAATACAAAAAAGCAATAAAGCAATATCTGAAGCCTTATTTAAGAAATCTCAATACACGATCTCTGAAGTTCCTAAAATTCTGGCACTAATTCTATTGTGAACTTATTAGCAAAAGACCCAGAAATATAGTAAGCCCCTGACCTAAAAACTGATTTGTATGATATTCATGCAGAAATTAATGAGAATGGGGTAAAGCTTTCTAGTGCCATGGTTATTAAGATAACTGTCAAAATAGTAAGTTTGAAACTTAATTGAGCACAAAATAAAATTTTGTTTTCTAACAAAATAAGACCAGAGTTCTTTTTAAAAAGAATTCTGAGTTTAGACAAAGTGATTTTCTTAAAAGCTAGCTGATGCTACCTTAAATACCACCTATTTTAAATTATACCATCTCTAAATAAGTTAATCACACAAGATAGTTTAAATACACCTTTAGGTGCGGGGGAGGGGGAAGCGCCTCTCTTTCTAACGCAGCTATTTTCCTTTGAAGCTTTTGCACAAAATCAGATAGAAACATTAACGCCTAACCCACAAAGGCCTTTGATTACTTGAGATTTTGGACTAGAAATAATGTGGCTTTGAATGTGCCAGTGTTAGACCATACTGACTTAAAAAAAAAAAAAAAGACACACAATTGCCAGTTCCAAAGATACAAGGAAGACATGTACCATTCCAGAGGAAACAAACCTTCCCAAATTTAGGAGGGCAGACTAATTGTTGAGATGCAATTAGACAATTCTCTAAGAAAAAAAAAATTAAGGCTACTACAGTTAACAGTCTGTTTATGGAGAATAATTTAACTTGTATCTTGATTCTTCAGGACCCAGAAACATTAGAAAGTGC